ACAAATAATAATTTAAAAAATATTAATTACAAAACAAATATAAATATTAAAAAATAATTCCGATTTATTTTTTTTATATAAAATAATTTCTAACTAATATTTTATATATATCTAAGAAAAATTCATTTATAAAAAAATATATAAATATTAATATATAAATATATAAAATATTTATTATATAATATTTAAATAAATATAATATTTTTATAAAGAATAATATTATAATATATATTTTATTTTTAATAAATATATATAAAATTATTTTTATTTTCCTAATAATATATAACCTAATTAATTATATATATCTATATATTTTCTTCACTATAATAATAAACTAAAGGGTTAAGCCAAAAAAAACCCCAACAATAATTTTATATTTATTCATTTTAAATTATTATTTTAATAAATTTTAGAATATATTTAAATTAATTTAAATAAATTATAAATATTTAATGAAATATAATATAGAATTTTAATTAAATACTAATTTATATATTAAAAAATAAATAAATATATATATATATATTAATTTTATAATCAATATTCTTTTTTCACTGAGTAATGGGAGCTTTTGCTCCAAGTAATAGAATGATTTTCTAAATTCAAAGTTTCGGTGCAGCATTGCAGCATGGCATCAGATTTCTTCGAATTTGTCGTGCCAATAAATGGATGGGGAACAAATGATAGTATGCGTCGAAGGCATTCTTGTCTCACACTAACAGGTCAAAAATCAAAAATACTTTGTGATAATAAATAATGAATCGAATTACAGTATTCGAGTTAAGACCAATCCATGATTGCTTGTGTTTGTCAGTGTCTCCTCTATTGTTGGCCATGTCCCCGTTGTCCCACATCCTCATCTTTATTGAATATTCCAACGTTCAAGCGATGATGAAACTGGAAATGCATGGTTTTCAAAAAGTATATATCACCTTCCTCAGATCACTAACGCGCTTTGCAAACAAACAAAAAAAAAAGAATCAAACAATCACAATAATCAATATGAACCAACAAGCGGTGGGCAAAAGTCAACATTTCCATCGTGTAAACGCCGTTTGTGGCTGGTTGCTTGCTCAATTTTTGGGTACAAAAGAATTGGTCAACATTTCGGTCGCAGCCCAATTTATCGAAACCATATTCCATGACATGTCCCATTACATTTCAATATATCTTAAGTATAATTATGTATACCCCTTCAACTTCCTCCGGCTTGGTGGTAAAAACGCGACAAATTGCTTGGTTAAACGCTGCGGCGCGGTGCCACCCTCAGGCGCCATTCCTCACTGCTTCGGCCACACCAAGCAGTGCCAAGGTGGCCTTGAAATTTCAGCTGGAATTGGTGGACTGGCCCTGGGGTAAACACACAAAAAATGTGGAAAGCCATGGAAAACCCATGGGGAAACTCTTACACACGGAAAATGATTCCTACTGTACTTTCATGATGGGTTTGCCACATCTTTCTGTATGTTTACAGGAGGGTAAATGATTAAACTGATGGATTGAACTGTTTTTCCCCACCAGCTGTGTTCAAAATTCCCTTTGGTCTCCTGACCGAGAATTCAAAGCTTACGTAGGAGCTTACGACCGCTTACGTTTTCCAAAGGTTCGCTTACGACGCAACAACTTCAGGAACAACTTCAAAGAACTAGCTTACGCATCTCTTACGGCAAAACAGCATTGGCTCAGCATTGGGGATATGTCATGATTCTGATATGTAAACCTTGGGAAAACCAGAAGCCTTGGCTAACGCCAGGTGGAAGGCTGACCTGAGGGGAAGGTTGGCGTAGCCGGCCCACCACTGGGGACTGGGGATGCGGGGCTTTACAGCCGGGGATGAAAAGGAGATTTCTCACAAACGAAACTGCAAGTTGCCGCAGCCGGGCGAGCAACGAAGAAACAAGCGACCTTGGCAGAGAAAAATCATCTCTAGTGCAACCTGCTGCCAAGGTGAGGCCAGCAGGTTGGGGGGAGTGTGAAAGGATGTGCGCAGCCCTTAAGGTAGAGGCAGCCTTGAATAGTGGCTGTGCTCACTTGTATGGGTGGGTAAAGAAAACCTAAACGTAGATCACTTGCAAAGGATTGCAAAGGAACCACAATGGGCCAGGGGTCAGTGAATGCAACCTTCGCTTACGACTAGCTTACGGATTGCTTACGCCGAGCTTACGGCAAATTCCGATCTCATAAAAAACTAGGGCCGTGAAGAAAGTAGCAGTCGTTCTGGTCTGCTTTCCCTACATGCAATGGCATCATCATCATCATCATCATCAACATCATCATCAACACTATTCGATAACATGCACCAAACAAAGCACACAAGCTTGTTTGAACCCCAGCTCTCATGGCCTGACATCGACTTCCGGCTGGCTTACGGCAACATGTTTGTGACCCATGCTTACGTCAAACATTTCGCGCTGCTTTAGATTTTATCAGGGCTTGCCGCCCACGTCGTCCTCCACCTCCCGCTTCGGACACCGCCCTCAACCGCGAGCTCCAGATCTCAGTGGGCACTGCCGGACCTCAACCGCGAGCTCCAGATCTCAGTGGGCACTGCCGGACCTCAACCGCGAGCGCCAGATCTCAGTGGGCGCTGCCGGACCTTAACCGCGAGCTCCAGATCTCAGTGGGCACTGCGGGGCCTCAATTGCGAGTGCAAGATGTCACATAGAATGTCAGATAGAATGTCAGATAGAAGGCCAGAAAGAATGTCAGATAGAAGGCCAGAAAGAATGTCAGAAAGAGTGTCAGATAGAAGGCCAGATAGAATGTCAGACTAGATGCCAAATAGAATGCCAGAATGAATGCCTGAAAAGATGCCAGATAGAATGCCAGAAAGAAGTTAGATAACATGTTAGAATATATGCCAAAAGAATGTCGGAATACACATATATATATATGCCATGTGTACTTCCAGATGGTATGTCAGAAAGTATGTCAGAATAGTGTTTCAGGGTGGGGATCATTCGAAGAAATAGGGATTGCATCATCCAAACAAGGGAAAACCAAGGAACACTCACCAAACATTGGAATCGATATAACCATCAACAAATATCAACCATGGAGATTTGTCACAATAAGCAACTGAGGCCTCAAGTTTGCTTTCAACAACACGAAACCCATTGTTATATATGGGCAAATTTTAAGATTCAAGCAACAACACCGGGGAATAAAGCAGAATTGAGAGAGAAGCAACAATAACACGTGCTGCGAGCAAAGAACAAATAGGGCTTTGAACAAGAGTCTGGTCTCAATGAAGAAACAAGAAACTTTGATGCAACAAGAAATTCTAAGAAAAGGGTTTCAAGAAGGGTCCAGTCCGGCTCTGACCAGCAATAGCTGGTGTTTTTTGAAGCAGCAATTGGTGCAGATGTACAGGCAGTGATACTGAGATTCACTAACTAGACAATGAGATGACAATTGTAAAACAAACTGTTTTGAAAGACCTGGATGGAAACAAACCTGATGCGGAATAGGCCTGACCTGAGTTTTACATGCTAGACTGTCTTACATATTTCTTTGGATGCATTTTTCTACCTTCCTTTTGAACACATTCACCCCCCTTGCTTCTCCTCACCAATCATCAATCACCAATCACCACTCGATCATAACACCACCACCATCAATCATCCTATTGGTATTTGTCTGAACATGGCAATTTTATCCCACAACGATCGCACCACTTTTTGGAAAATATATGAAAATATGATGATACACCAGTAAACTGCTTGGTGGTTTCAATCCATGACAAAAACTCAGTCAATCAGAATCCTCATCCTAGATATGGTCAAAACGTATTGGACACCAGCAACCAGATACATACTGATACTTTCACACTTTTGTTGGTTGAATATGGTCAACTCATGTCAAACTATTTTATTTCCCCACTTTTCCGAGGCAAATCGAAACGACCATCTGGAAACAAATATGGACAACTCGAGTTATCGCTTTATCTTTGGAGAATCAACGTCTACCATCTGGAAATTTAACATAGCCATTGAAAATGGCACTTTATATCAAAATGGTGATTTTTCATAGTTATGTTAGTTTACCAGAGGGTAAACCCTAGGAATCCATAGGATTTTTGGGTCCCTCAAACTTTCACGAGCCATTCCCACCCTCACCTGCTCCTGTGAATCTCCCTTGAGGAGTGCCACCATGGACGCTGAACCACCAGCCTTGCTGCGCGCAAGGAAGCAAATGGTGGGATCAAAAGCCATGCTGGATATCAAAATAGCTGGAAAATGAATGTTCATTCACCACAAATTGTAGAATCATAGGGTTTTTTTTATCCATTTGGCATCCTTCCGGAATTCCAACAATAACGACTGATAGACTTCATACCAACGTTTTTCATCACTTTGCAACGGCACCACATCAAGATTCCATCCACAATACCTTCCGATAGATGGCCAGATGGGAAAAAAACATATCTGACTTCTTCAGAAACATGATCCACGATTGAGCAGTGTTCAAAACCATCTATCATCCCATTGTACTGGTTGGTCAATAGGATTTCCAATATAACGGATGCTCGTCCCCAATATATTAGGTAGCATAACTCCCTATAATCATCAACCGGGGTTTTGAACACTGCTCAACTGTTGCAGAACATATCATCTGATCCTTCATTGATGAATCAATCCACTATCCACTCTGACAGGAAGGGCCTTCACTACAACCCAAATGGCTGAAGACACTCGGCCTGGTCATAGTCACGCTCTTTCCCAGCATGCTATGATAAGCCCGGTGTTGAATTTGTTTCACTCGGAATGGACCCCATAAAACGTCTGTTGGGAGCATAGAATTGTTTGTACGGAATGGCAACATATATGGGGGCTCTATCTTGAGTGTTATCTATAGGTTCCATCTGAAAGCCCCAAACTTTACCATTTGATCTAGATGACTTCGTGGTGACCTCCTTATCACTTCTCCAGATCTTATTGCTATCTCAGTTACCCCGTGTAAAAATCCATACTTATCTAAAATTATATCTACAAGACTTCAGAAGCTCTTATTAAACGGACACTTTATCTATAATCATCCATAGTCATCTATAATCAATCATCTATAGTGTCTATAGTTGTCTATAATAGTTATCTACAATGTCTAGAAGCGCCAAGGCACGCGAATGATGGCCAGTTGATTCTCCAGGTTGTCCTGGAAAAAGCACGGTGAAACTCTGGATTTCTGCCCAACCATGGGATAAAGGGAGCCTAGTGCCATAGGGAGCCATGACCGGATGCATTTTAAAGCCAACTCGTTAAGGGGGGCGAATTACATATCCGGGTCCAGTAGTGTTTCGAACTTTGTAGATGCATATATAAACATAAATGTAATTATATGTATCTAATTGTATCTATATGTATCTATGAACACTATATGCACGGCCCATCCATGCCTGTGCCAGAGTCCACAAGGCTTCAGCAGCTTCTTCACGTACCATGGGCCTGATCATCGTCAAGGTGCTAGTCATTCATGCCATTCATGCAGAGCTTGGAAAAGCGATGACAGAAAATCATGGAAAACCCATCGAAAAATATCGAACATATATTGAACATGAGGATTATGGGTGATTTCTGCTGATTCCATGGCGGTTTTTCGTGGTTTTTAGTGGATTTTTCAAACCTGGTGATCCTTGGGGAGATGAAGCCACCACCAATACATCATAATACATCCCCATTATTGTTGGTGTACATCTCTATATAAAATCTCATAAAAAAGGTATTGTATGGCTTCACACCCCCATAGTATATCATACTATCATATCAATGGGATTTTCAGGATCCTAAAATGGAGCTACTGAACCATATTTTGGGCCATATTTGGTGGGTATATCCCCTTAAATAGCTCTTATATATGGTAGGATGGCCATTGAATGATAGTTCCCTATGTTTTGTGGCTTAAAATCCCCAGGCGTCCCCGCATGGCATCTTCCAAAAGCTTCACCAGGGGCAGGATGGCTCCGGCCTTCGGCATTTGACCGGGTTTTTGTCGAAGAATCTGGTACATCAAGTACCATAGATATCCATAGATCTATATAACATATCATACCAGAATATCTCATAATACTATACCATAGATCTAGAGAGGAGCATCATTAAGTACCACCTACCACCATAGTTGATGGTTTACATTGGTTTACTACCATTTTTGCCATATTTTCCCTTTTTTTCACATGGGCATCCCTCAAAAGTAGCCATCTTTGTGGGGATGTTCCTCTCTGAGGTCTATCCATTTAGTCCTTTTCATTTGTATCCGCTTATCCCCCCAGCCCTTTTTAGGCATCGTCTCCCATTTCTGTTGATTAACATTTTTGTACACGTTTGTTGATGATCATTCTTCATATTACATCTGTTACATATGAAAACAGATCTGCTATCTTTGCCCAGGATAATCAAGAATACCCTCCGGTAATTTAACATAGCTATTGAAAATACCACATTTATAGTGGATTTACCCATTGAACATGATGATTTTCCATAGTTATGTTAAATTATCAGAGGGTAAACCCTAGGAATCCATAGGATTTTTGGGTCCATAGGATCATCTTACAGTCCCGGGGAGATCCCCGGACCCGCCTCAGCAATGGCCTGTTGGTTCTCCGCATGCGACGTGGCCAGGTTGCGCAACGCCACGATGGCAGTGCCCTGGCTTCTTGTATTCAATGGATTGGTTTAAGGGAAAAATTACTGGTTTAAGCCCCATGATCTTCATGGGAAAATCGATGGTTTCCGGTTCAGATTTTCCCTTAAACCAATCCATTGATGTATACTACACATTGATACACATTGTGATTTTTAGGTCGTGGTCGGCAGTTGAGTCAGATTGGTGGATTTAATGAGCAATTGGAACTATTGATGGATCAACCAGCGGATATGATGTCAGCCCAGGGGTTTGATGATAGTGATGGTCCCTGTTACAGGACTGGGGATATCCAAGCTACGTTCCAAACTCATAAGTGCTGAGCAGCCAAACTGGATTCGGGCGAATTTCCCAAATTCTTAAGTCTGTCCCCTCCAAGAAACATCCAAACATAGCCTCATAATATGAATCAACGGAGAAACTCTTATTTCTTGTGCCCCCGGGATGTGCGGAATCATTGAGGCAGCCAACACATCACACGTTCTATACGAACATAAGAAACTCCCACATAGATACAATAGTTTTTGCACGAACTGGCAGTATTCACCTCATCACTTCCAGGTTTCACACATTGTTTTTCACCTCTTTGGGGGGCTGTTCAGGTTCCAAACGTAATCCACATCAAGTCCGGTCCATTTCCGCCTTCATCATGTCGCCATGCAGTCGTTCCACTAGGGGCGAAACCGCCCCGGCACGCACGATAGCTGCCTGGTTGCACAAGGAAAAATCATGAACACGTATGAAAATCGAAGATTTTACCATCAGAAGCAGGGATTTTACCATCAGAAGCAGGGTCACACTGGAATTTTACGTTGAAAGTAAATCTCAATCTTGGGATATTTGGGGTTGATCTAGCCGACGCCCTGCCAAACGTTTGATTCTTAGTGGGATTATGGTAAACTCATGAAAGCAAACAACTCCAAGCGTATGGCTACAATCCATCCAGCAATTCAAGGGCTCAATCCCAATTTGATGGGAACAGATTGTACACTTAACACCATCAACACTTTACTATCAAAAATCGAATTTTGAGATTCCACATGTTTGAATTACTTACTTCCACTAGATCTAACTGCTGAACAAAACCCTGAAAAAATCCAGTGGTCTGAAACCTTTTGGGAGAAATCACTTTGGGTCCGTCTCGGTCCATTTTGCCCCGCCTGAATGGGCGGGGAATGAGCTGCTAAGGCGCCCAGGGTTGAGGCCGCCTGGGATGACCCGCCTGGGGTTTTCTCATGTTTTCTCAAAGGGGGGGTACCCCCAGTCATCCTCCATTTTCATCGGAGATTTTTCATTATATATATATATATATTATATAATCATATATATATATATACGTATAAACCATCCATTTATGGAAACACCCATATGGTAATAGTAGGTTTTGAAGGGTTTTCACCCATCCCCACATACTGTGGATGGTTGCATATGGTTGCGAAATCCTGCACCACCAGAAGGATGGTAAAACCCCTATAATTCATGGGATAAACAATGGATAGATCACCGTTTTCAACTGGTGCAGGATTTCGCAACCATCCACACGTATGGAGAGAAATGGACATGGCCAACATGGCCTGCTCTTGCGCCAGCAGCGTCTTGCCACGCAGCAGCGCCACCAAGGGAGGGACAGCGCCCAGCAACGCGGAGGGCGCTGAGTCCTGTGGCGGTGCGCGGTGCTGAGTGGTCCATTTTTTGGGCAAATCTAAACTAACATGGGGTGGGTAATTATGTAATTAATTGTCATCTAATATGCTTATGTAATTACCATCCATTACCTCTTATCGTATTATTTTGACATCTCTGTGCGTAATCTAATCTACTGTAAGACTGGAGGTAATTATCCAATCTGATTATCGAATTCAATCTGATTATCGAATTCATCCATTTTTAGTTGACCATCATTAGTTAACCATCCATTGCTTGACATCTCTAGTTAACCATACCGTTTTCTACCAGTAATTATCTTGTCATTAATAATCTACTGTAATCCAGTTTAATCTGATCTAATCTATCCATCTATCTATAATGTAATTTGGACTGATGCACAAACGCATGAAGTAGAATATGAGACATGTTCACCAGCAAATGTGTGACAACCTACACACCTGGCGATTGTAACAAAAAACATGCCGTGTCTAGTCTAACAGTCCTGACTAACTGCTTGAATCCGTATTTTAGCACATTTTAGCTGCTTTAAGCGCCAATTGTTCACTGCCAAAACCAGCTGAATCCTACTTCGGCCAGTGATATCCCCAACAAGATATGGCCTTGTCCCCCCAAAAAAGTACTACCACCCCCACCCAAACATCATGGTTTTAACTCAACCTTCTGCAAATTTCCGCATACCCTCCGGTAGTTAAACATGGTAATGGAACATCTCCCATATCTATATCTATATATATATATATTATGTATATATGTATATACATATATATGTAATGTTTATCCAAGCTATAAATCTTCATTTCGGGGATTTTCCAGCCAACCACTTTTGATGACACCCGAGGGTATCATTATGATGTCTTTACCCCAATGATATCCTAATAATGGTATCCCAATTGGTATCATCCCACTGAATAAAGGGTTTCCTATAAAGACCTTTCATGATTTATCATACCAAGAAATATCCCAATGATCATCCCAAATATTCTCCATATTCCCTATAAATCCCTATGGAACCCATGTATTTTATCATGATGTCATCTCTGCATCCGCTCGATCATCCAGGAACTTCGTGTTGGGTCGCAATGGGCAGGCACCCGCTCTTGAAGAGCCAAAATGGCATAGAATTTCCCGATAAATCCCTCTGAATATCTTCCATGATTGGTACAGTATATTCTCATTATATTCCCAATGATTATCCCACATAAATGGATATATTCCCATTATCTCCCAATCATATTTCCTATAAATCCTATGATTTTCCTCATGGTGTTCCTATGATTTCATGGCAGCCCCCCAGAGTCGAAGCCTGCTCCGCTGCAGCACCTGCCGCCAAGCTCTTCAAAAGGCTGGCGGCCATGACTAGGGCGGGTGCCTGGCGCGCTACCATCTGGGGATGGTTTATACCGCCCATAATCTTATGGTGATGTTGGTGATGGATTAGAATTTTGAGTTTACCACAATCAACATGTCAACTGTAATGGGGATCTATGAGGAGATATATATATATATATATACATGTATATACATAGAGGATATCATGGGAATAATGATAGGGCTGTATGTAAATATATATACATATATATATACATATATATATATACATATATATATATATACATACATATATATATATACATATATATATATATACATATATATATATACATTATATACACATCTGAATAGCCACTTCTTGACTTTGCCCACATATAGGTAGCCCCAGCCTTCCGCTTACCTCGCGGAATTGCGAGGTCAGTGGAGAGTCTGGGGTTTCCTGTTAGCCACCTGAAAGGGGCCAATAACTTCACTGAGATACTGGCCATGCTACCTGGGTCAATTGTAATCATTCACCAATCTGAAATAAGGACATTTTGGGATAGTTTCAGTGAGATCGCGGTGAGGCCGTTATAACTTACCCAGAAATCATCAACATTTCGAGACCATCAAAAACTGGTTGGTGGCTTCAGCCCCTCAGAAATTTAGTTGTTGGGATAATTATCCTCAATATGCTTGGACATCAAAAACCCGAAACCACAAAGCAAAAAATATATTCAACTCATCAATCAGTTGTGTAATCCTTCATTAGATTCTACCCCAGGTCACTAGTGAAGACAGGTTCCAAACCATTGAGATGACTTGCTCAAATCGTGTTACATCATGTTACATCCTCAATATTTCCAAGATTTGGATAGATTTGGTTGGTTCAGCATGTTCAGCTCAGTCAAGCTCACCTGATTGGTCGATAAAAAACCTCCATAAATCCGTCGAAGACGTGACGTGACCATCCCCCAGCTCGGGACCTCATCGCGTTTCAAGATGCGGACCAATGGATCGATGGCACCTGCACAACGATGGAACATGCGAACTAGTAACCTCCCCAGCCAGTCCCTTTTTAAATGGAGCCTCATAGCTGGGAAACTCATCGAAAAACAGGGGGTTTTCCATTGCCATGTTTGCTTACCAGATGGTACCTCTATTATTTTAGTAGGATTTACCTTTCTGCATCTTTTGTTTTGGAGTTGCTTGTTGGCTGCTAAGGTGAGGCAACGGTACACGGCAGTGTCGGCGGTGTCTGACCTTCTTCTCTTCGTGCAATATTCTGACGAATGGATGTGTCCCAAAGCACAATATATGGTTCATCACAATATGGGTTGCCATCAATGTATATATATATATATAATATACTACTTATTCAAGTACGTATTTGCAATGTTCGGCCATTGATGGACCATATTGTACTTTTTCTACTTTTTATCGAAGTTAGAGTATTACGGTACCATATACATACACATATATATATATATATAACTATATACATATTTACAAATCTATACATAAGTCTGGCATTACACAATGACTCTTCATGGCAAATCATTGATACACACAGCACGAAAAAATATCAAGATTATCAAGAAACTTGCCACGTCTTGCAAGGGCTGCCCTAATCGTCTTGCCACTCTCCAGGACCTTGTAGAGCTGAATGCACGAACTCGCTTAGAGAAGAGGTTTCTGTGAGAAACGTAGGGGATCGCTTGGGCTTGTCCCAACGAAATCAGTACTAGGTCGATCTTCGGCGCTGCAATGTCACCTCCAAAATCACGCTGCAAATTCGGTCGGATACGGATGGTCAAGCCATCCTCATGGATTAGGTAAACCCAAAGGGCTTCGTCTATAGGAACCAGATCTGAGGCTAAGAGCCTTACATAAACCAAAGACGTAAAGAACCAACATAAAACAACGTAAACGCAACATAAAAGCAAACACAAGTGAATCATAAACACAAGTGAATCATAAACACAAGTGAATCATGAGTCATGGAACAGGAAATGATGATCGAAGCAGCTCCATCTGAAATCATGAAATTATTGAAGCACTCCTCATAAACTTCATCAGGACATGATGAGTTTTACAGCTCTGAAATCAAACCTGGGAAACATATTTTACAAAATTTTACACACACCAAAAACAGTTAAACACTCAGTCACTCATGTATAGTCAACGCCCCAAGGGTTGCTGTTTTTTTGGGTTCCTACTGAGTCAACGCCGATGGAGCCTCCTTGGGTAATCGCCACCTGGTTGTCCGGATTGTCTGAAGCCAAGTCGTTCCTGGCAGCTGAAGGAATAGAACCAACTGGAACCTGTAGGTACTGGGAATGTCGCCAAAAGTTGGCAAATTCATATTGTATATATATATATATATCTATCCATAATATATATTGTACATATCAACATCATTCAATATCTGACCCACAAATCATTCATTGGAGATCATTGGAGTGTAGGATCAAAATTGAATCTGAGAGCTTACAAGATGGTAGATGGTGGCTATACTGGTTATGAATCCGTCCTGAAAATATGCTCGTCTTTCTGACAAATCGTGCAACATTTGCATGGTGCGACCCTGGCAAAGCAAATTGCCAAAATGGTTGTGGGGAAAAATGTTGCAATAGAGAATCCATGCTGAGCGGCACTACATTTCGCTGGCATATGGCAGGCCATCTCACATGCAATGCTACAATCATCTGATGAACCCTCATTTGGGTGTTCCTTAAAATTGGGGTACCCCTTATCAACATTGGTTTCTCCCACTAGTGTACATGCCGAATCACTTGGATGATAGCTTGGGGTCCATTTGAAACAACCACCTGAATTTCATTTCTTGGCCATTCATTCCCATCATATTCCCACTATTCTTGATCCATGATCATTTGTTGGCTGAACGCGAAACCAATTGGACAAGTTTTTTGTCCTTTTCCTTCAGGAAGGGGACCCCTAGTTTGTAAGCTGGTTTATTACCCCATCTAACTATAGCAATAACCCCTATAAATTGCCTATAAATCCTAGTTAGCCAAGTTATAACTCAACTTAGCAAACTGTGGGGGCCCTTCCTGTCCAATTTCATTTCCGCCTGAGCCCCCTTGAGCCCCCTGAGCCCCCAGGCAACACAGCTGCAGCCACCACTCGGATCTGGGAAAGTCGATGACAATGGTGGTTTCACCAACAATGATGGTGTTTCGGTGTAACCAAAAGCAGGTTGAACTGGCAAAACATAGAAAAAAGGGACAACTATGATGGTTTAACCATGTTTAACCTGCAACTCAACGTGCTTTATATAACTCACAAATCATTTAAGTCCGACCAGCTCGAGCTGGACAGATTCAGGTGATGGATCCACAGGGTGCCCATCATGACCAATATCGCGGCCGGGTGGAAAAAAGGGGGCCTGAAATCAAGACATGTATCTAGAAATGCATCACATTTTGCATTACAAACTTGAGACCACCATGACCTGAATCATTTTGACTCATATAATCATTTTTTAATTGTATACTTCATTTTACTTATCATTTGCAAAGTTTTGGGATGACACATTTCATTCCCATTGGCTTGCCCACGCCAGCGTCATTGCAAGAGGCAAACAAACCCAGTCATGTTTCAGCGGGAAATAAGTTCATCATTCATGATTGGGAAAGAGATATAATAATTCAGCAATCATCAACCAACCATCAGTTGTGAATTGCATGACCCATCCACTCGGTGTCCCCGAGGGATCAAGCACATCCATCCCCCATAAAAAAAAGCCATTGATATCTTCCATTCATATCACCATTCACCCAGAAAAATACCCCCTATTTCATGCAATTTTCTGGGTTTGTCTCAAAATGGCGTACTCCCAAAATATCATGGTTCACCTTGATGTTCATCCATTTTCCCTACTTTTAAATTGCAATTTGGACGCATTTTTCATCATTCTTCCATGTTCAGACATACACCAATATCATATTGGATATTGTTAGTTACATCGCGTTGTATCCCATTGTATTCCCATGATAGATCCCATCATAACACCATATCTATTCATATCCCATGATACCCACAGACAAGATGACCGCCCAGGCCCCAGCTGTGCATATGTACTATAAACCCAACAGTTCACCAAATATATATAATATCCTTAGCATTCCTTAGTGATATCCCATTGATATCCTATGAGTTTCCTAGAATAAACGTCATATATACTTAGTTACCCTCCAGTAGATTAACATAGACCCTGCCAGATCGGGGTTGGAAGATTCGTTTCCACTAAAACATGGATTATTTTCAGGATCGAACTGTCGATTTACCAGTAAATATTTCACGTTATATTAATATGGATAATTTCCACTAAACAGTGTATATCCCATTTATATTTACAATTTTACAGTTGATATATCAATAGATATACTGGTAAATAATGGTAAATATGGGATATCAATGGCAAACATTACCCTCTGGTAAAGAAACATAGACCCTGAAAATAACATTTTTTTTATAACAGAAACTCATCTTCCAACACCTATCTGGCAGGGTCTATGTTAATTTACTGGAGGGTACATCAGTTACCCTCTGGTAAACGTTTACATAACTATGGAACATCACCATTTTTTAATAGGTACATCAGCTATAAATTGCAATTTTCAATAGCTATTTTGACATAACCAGAGGGTATATCCCATTAATATCCCATTAAATCACTATAAAATCCCATTAAATCACTATAAAATCCCATTAAATCACTATAAAATCCCATTAAATCACTATAAAATCCCATTAAATCACTATAAAATCCCATTAAATATAAAATCCCATTAAATCACTATGAAATCCCATTAAATCACTATGAAATCCCATTAAATCACTATGAAATCCCATTAAATCACTATAAAATCCCATTAAATCACTATGAAATCCCATTAAATCACTATAAAATCCCATTAAATCACTATGAAATCCCATTAAATCACTATGAAATCCCATTAAATCACTATGAAATCCCATTAAATCACTATAAAATCCCATTAAATCACTATAAAATCCCATTAAATCACTATAATATCAGTTATCCCATTGATCTCCCACGACGACGAAAGCGGCACATCCCGGCACCCTCTGCTCGTTGTCTTCCAGCAGCCGAATCAAGGGGTGAATGGCTCCAGCTTGGCCGATGGCCACCTGGTCATGGAAAACATGGGGACATCGGGATATAACATGAGATATAAGATGGTATATATATATATATCTATAACCAACAATAACATACAATAACCAACATGATATACGGATGTGTCTGAAAATGGGGGGCCGCCAATTTATGACAACTCCGACGAGGAACACAAGGCTTTAAAGTCCTGAGGTACCGGGCTACCCTATGTGCAGACAATCTCATGTAAACCCAAAGAGAACTTGCAACTATCATGGAATCAGCAATGGTATATAATGTGGTAAACGAAATGCCATAAGAATCCTAGTAACAAACCAGAAACTGGGCAGATTTAATATCTTGAATCATGGAGACAATAATCATGTGAACCAGTGGATTTTGGTCCAATTTTCAGGCAAACCCATATAGAATCCATTTGGATGATTATCTTGGTATCCTTCCAGAATGGCTCCCCAAGTGGGTAAACCGTTTACTCGGCCAACCTTTGATCACTGGCCAAAAAAGACCATTTTCTGCAGGCTATGGGCACCACGACATACTCGGATTTATGGCAACAAACCTAAACGCTATTTACCAAAGAACTCGCACAATTTTGTCGCCCAAATCCATATCTTTGAGATTGCTACCCGTCACCAATTGGCCATGCCTGATTCTGCGCATTGATCTCCTAGAGCAAACGAGACCCAGTGACCGTGTAGGGGCTAAACAACAAACTTGCTCGGGGATACATAGGATATTTACCTATTTGTCATATGTACGATGCGTAGATGCATCATATTTACCTTCCTATAAGTTTTACATCGCTCTGGAACATGGCCCATTGATACATTTGATACAGTAGATGGTTTTCCTATTAACAAATGACCATTTTCTAGTTTGCTGCGTTTCAATTACCAGAAGGGTAATACCTTGTTTTTCCATGCAAACCTAGGCTTGGCACCTGAAGAGGCCCGCAATACATTCTTCAGAAGGCTACTCTTGCTACCTCATCTAACAGTGCTGCAACTTTATCTTGCTAGTATGGCCATCTTAATATACAATAGCCCCCAATAAAATAGACAACTATATAATTTGGTGGGTTTTACGAACTTCTATCTTCTTTGGGGTTGTTTTTTTCACTTTAGTACAGTAGGGAAACACATGGCCAATCGTGGGATTTTCACGCAATCCACACATGTTTGTTGCTTCTTCTCGCCAATAATCGATTATTTTCTCATACCCCAAAGGGGCATTACCCCTATTCAACCCTATTATTGGGGAATATGAACCATATATAAAACCGTATTACACCAATGTTTCTGAGGTATGTCCACTTGGGATATATGAACATCTTCTATCTTCCAAGGCTTTCCGCATCCGGTGGTCCTTGCTGTTCCTGGCCAGGTTCCACAAGACGCGTGCGGCCTCCTCCCTTAGGCTGGGCCTTGGGAATATCGGTGTATGGAATATGCACCCAACTTAATAATTGGGTAAATAATGGGTATATTATTAACATCTATGAGCATCAGGGGTATATTATAGGTATTTTATGAACATCTATGAACATCATGGGTATATTAATGGGTATACTACATATTTGATATACAACGGATATTATCAATGGAATAATTATGCACCCAGCTTGATGTGAGCATAATGGAAATATAATGGGCAACCCTCCTGTAAACTTTGTAAACATAGATGTGGAAACCCATGGTTTCCCAATCCGGAACATGATCTACTCTCATGGGGGAGTGTGCAAAACATCTATCTTAGTTTTCCCGCAAAAGGGTATCTTCATGGGCATTCTTCATGGGTAGACAATGGGTATATCGATGGAATATACAACCAACCTAATGTGATATATGATTTATGGTCATCCAAAAAGTTAGGATTGATGATCATCTCCTACTATGGCCATAGGCTATACTATACGACCATGAACAAATCCAATCATTGACCATGGCACATATGGTAAACCATGGTAAAAAACGCAGATAAACTGTCTGTACATGTCTGTACCCCTTCTGTTCACATCAAAGTAGCTGGGGTTTATAGATGTTCATACCACACACATATTTGAACAATTGCATTTAAATTAAATGTATGGATCCATGCTTGTAATACCATTTAAAGATGGAAAAATCAAACCCAAAGATATTTTGACTGCGATCAATTTTTCTTTTTGACAAGATTTTTTTTCAAGAGGATCCGGCAAGAGTGAAATACTACTCAATCCTAACGAAGCACTCATCCACCACTTGCCCCTTTTCATCATCAAGGCCCTCTTGACCGATGGGAACCCCTAATCGCAGCTCGTTCGCTCCAACATCTGGCAGCTTCTAGCCCATCATTATCGGTGATACCCCATTCCCCTTGCGAAACACTACTTCTTATAGTTGATTGTATTATCATTCTGAATAATTTTGTACGTATATATACGTATATATATATATATATATGAGCGATTGTGAAAACCCTAGGTTCACGGAAAAGACATCCACAAATTTGGGAAGGTCCCATCGCTTACCACACGTTTGTACAATAATGATATATGGTAAACTTGGGGGGTATCGCTTGCAGGAAGCTGCTGCATTTATATATATATATATATGTGATGAACCATGAATAATATGTGATATTTGGGTATCGCTAATGTGATATTAGAGAAATATGATGACATAACCTTGAAAAGGGGTATCGCTAATTTGGGAAGGTCCCATCGCTTACCTCGTGTTTTTAACAATTTCCATCAATTTCCATAAACCAATGTCCGTCGAATACATATTTAGTATTGCCGGGGTTTTTACGGTTGCTCATATATGTATATATATATGTATATATATATGTGTATATATATATATGTATATATATATACACACGTATATATATATATATAATATACTATATGATATGAGTCAGTTGTATCCCAGCATTGGTTGAATGAGAAAACTGCGAGGAGATCCCGATAAGTATTGGCTTCTGAAATGGTGGTTACTTGTAGATTTGCCCTCACTCAAAATCAAGTTGATTGATCATCAGTTCTCAAGTTTCCAGGCTACAAGTCCCATTATGTTACAGTATATGGTTGAATCCACCTTTGATCTCCATTTTGTCACCACAATCTCTGGCAAAAGGAAGGCCGGAAGGCATCCCCACGTCTCGTGCCCAAGAAGTCGCACGAAGTGTGGCAAGGCCCCCGAGCGAACGACCGCAGCCTGCCAGGGACAGCCCAATCTTCAGGCTATCGTGATTTAATGAGGTTTCCAATGGGGGACATAATGGGATAACAATGGGTTAATAATAGGATAATCACAGGATAATGATGGCTATATGGAGGTTTCCTAAGTCAAGGGGTTTCTCCCAAATCATCTAAGTCATGGATGACTATTCTTGTTTTGAAAGCCATGGTGACTATGGTGACTTGGGGGATCTTGGGGGATCCTCCATTTGAAGACACCCCTAAATGGTGACCATGTTTTTTTTTTGGCCACAAATCTATCTGATGGTAAATGTGCAATCATCTACTATAACTGGTATAACTGGGATTTTTTTCCATGGGATTTTCGTGTTGCGCCAAGATGAAGACCATCTTGGAACCCATCCGATCTTTAGGGCACCCGATTTTTTCACCACAGATTTTCACCACATCCCCAAGGTGATATCAGTCATGATTGGAAGTCGAGCCATGTGTATTTTCTTTATACTGGAGCCATGTCAGAAACCCAAACAGTGTGGACTTAAGTCTCCATGTTATATCTATTCAGTGACAGTATAACCTAAAGATATAAAATGAAAACATGGATCTATTGGATCTACCGTCCTCCTGAAGAAGACACGTCATCGTCATCCCGACATCGGAAAATGATCTGCCACTGACCTGGTTGTCAGAATGCTCGGCTGCGAAAAGTCTCAACCTCAGAACCAGGCAAACGGCTTTTCCCAACGAAAAGCCTTTGTGGCAAGGGCTATGAAAAACCAATAGGTGGATGCCGATCCCTTTGATGAACACCAAAGCCTACACATCCTATGTCATTTTTACATCTGCTGGCAAAACTGGGCCCAGTGTATGGATCTACAAATGGGCCCCGTGTATGGATCGAATAATGGCCGATGTTCAAACATTGTTTATTTTTTTTTCCGTGGCCATATTAGATTCCCACATAAATGACCATACAGATTACCATAGGGATTGCCACACGGTGATATTGTATGATCTCTTATTGCAATCTCTTGCTATCTTGATGCCATATTTGACTACCAAAAGATATTTCGATGCATCGAGATACAATTTCGACTCATTTCTGTTCGACCTCAATTCCTGGCTTTTCTTGACGTCGCACAATTTGGTTCGGAAACCTAGCACTTTCCGCATTATAAAACATGGTGCCTGCGCTGCACATTTGTTCCAAACTCCTTTCAGTGACGGAATGGTAGATATATCAACTTGATTCAACTTACCACAAATTGATATATATATATACATACATAAATCTCATTGTTTGTAACCCGCAAAAAGACAGAAACACAATTTATCATTATTTTCGTAAGATTTTACTTTTCTATCGTTTTGGGGGGTTTCTGCAAAAACGACCCAATTTTCAGTGTCCCAGTTTTTCCATGGAATCTCGCCAGGTAGCATAAATGCCACTTTCTGCTTCTCCTCATCATTGCCCTCCTCTAAGGTTTTTAGCCTCATATCGACGACGTGTCAATAAGGTGGTGCCGTGGTACCCCATAGCCATAGGGTCTATGATGATCAGAACTGTAGTTCGATGGGGTGTGTGTTATATATATACATACCCTCTGGTTATTTAACATAGCTATGGTATAGATGGCCCATAGAAATAGATGATTTTCCCATTTAAAACCTCCATTTATAAGGGATTTTCCATGGCTATGTTAAATAACCAGAGGGTATATGATGTGTACATGTGTATGTTATATATATATATATATACGAAGTATGTATTTACACACCATCCTATTGTCTTAATATCTACTAATTACTCCTCAAAATTTGTGACTTGGGAATCACCCCAATGATCTGATGCACATCCCAGAAATCAAGAGGCGCAACGAGAAATGTTCACATCTTAATTGTTGGACCTTTGGTTTTAAGTTTTGTAGGACCATAGGATTCTCAGTTCCCCCGGAAAAAAACACGGAAACTCCCCGGCTAAAATTGATGAGCATTGCGAAACTCGATGATTTTGGAGGGTCGTTGCCAGGATTTATGTGACTTCCAAATTAGGGGTTGTCTCAATATGCCATGGTGGACACTAACCAGAATTCGTCTATGGGTTCTTATATGTTCTTATGTCATTTGCATGGCCATGTTTTTAAACCCTCAACTTGGATAGTTCAGCATTGAAACAAACCTGCAGGTTCTGTTTCCAAAAACTTTCTACTTAAGCAACCCCATTTGTAAACCTTGGATTGCTCTGGAATGCTCAAGAATACTGTAGGAATCTAAAACCTCGATGGTTGCTCCACTCTGGATTTCTGGATCGCCTCTTTATTTTTGGAGGATGATATTCCCCAAAATGGAATGCCAACTACATAAACTCTCTGGAAAACAACCCCTCCATGGGGAATCAACCTTAGTCATGTCCTCATTTCAAGGAGAACCTACCAACATTTTCTTGATTGACAAGGGTCTGGATCAAAAACCGTTCTACAAAAATTGCATTTATTTGGGTCTGAACATTTTATCGCGTTATATTCCTGCAATAGATGTTCTGTATATATTTATATATACACACTATATTACTCCCATATCAATATATCCCATTACGTTCGATTATATCCACTTATAATCTATATACATATATTGATATTATATCATTCCATTGTATCCCATTATATCCCATTACATGTACCATATTATTTATGGTTCAACCTCATTTTGGTCTTCACCAGACCACCTATCCTTGCCTCTTCCAAGCCCGCGCCCGGGAATTTCTGAGGCCCCAGCTGTGCAGTGAGTGCAGGATTTTCTTCGATCCTCGGCCATCCGCAGCGTATATACATATATTATTGTATATATATAAAAGGACTTTGTAAATCGGGAAATTCCAAGTTTCATCCAATGTTCCAATGCTTTGAACAACATTTATTGGATCACGTTTCAATTGAACTCAAGGTCAAAGGTCAGTTGGATATCATGGGACAAACCCAGAAGCCTAGCGGTTTCAAAGCTGGCCAACGTGGGTATAGCTCCAGGAGAATGTATCCTAATGTATGGGAATACCATCAACAGAAACGGGGATGTTTGTTAAAATCCAAACAATCCGAAGTACATAGTGATTTTTGCAGATCAGAATCTCTGCTGTACGGAATCTCTACTACGTTGATGAAACAAGTTGGTCAGCCCATCTGAGTCCAGAGGGCATTCCCCCCTGTGGTGCTGTTTGAATCCTGACTATACCCTATGTTTTTCTCAAGGTATCACCATGTTTCCTGGTTCAATGACCATTTTTTAGCTGGTTTACATAATCCCTGCTTTGCACTGCGTCAAGTGGGCGGCCTCCCCCGCTGTTTCCAGGATTCCCCAACCACGGAAGATGCACTGGGGGTATTGCCTGGTCAACAGCGGGGATGCACCAAAATCCACCGAAAAAATGATGGCATGACCAACAATGATGGCTTAACCAACAAACATGATGGTGTAACTCTGATGGTGAAACCAGCAAACAATGATGGTTTGAAGGAAGACATGAATGAATTGAGTAAACATGATACATCATGATAGTTTAATCAGCACAGAGACGGGGGTTCAACAAACAAACCGGATCAAAAAAGGTGGTTCTTCTGACCATCGTACCTAGGATGCCAGGCCAAAGAAAGCACTGGCTACTCTTTCCCCTTGATACCATGCAAACAAGTTGATCTTTAGCTGGGTATTCAATATACAAGTATATACCAGTACCATCATTATATCTGGATGAATTATAACAATTGCCCAACTTGAACAGTCCGGCCTAAAATGGGATAGTTACACCAAATTTCCAGTGATCGTAAAGCCATCAAAATAGCTCCCCTTCACCAGTCAAAATACAGAGCAACTCCTCAAAATCAGGGCAACTCCTCAAAACCATCTACGAAATGGAACTGATTCTGGATAAATGTATCGTTATTGCTGAGGTTTCGAGATGGTTTGGGATGGTTTCCAATTCTGAATTGAAATGGACGACCAAGATTTCCCATTGTGAGCTTCGATTACCTTGGTGTGGGAGACACGCGGATCAGCTGATTGAATTTCTGTGTGTCTACCGTCCCTCCAATATCTGTATGGACCCCCAAAAAATAGAACAGTCAAATCCTACAAAAATAGTGATCATACATACTTTTTCTATCTTTTTGGTGGTTGCTCTATTATGATTGCCCTGTCTTAGCTGCTCTTCCATTCTAGGAGTTGATTGGGAACTAAACCAATTATATAATCCTTCACCAATAGGTGTGTCTGAAAATGGGAAAAATCATGAAAAATCATTCACCAGTGGATCAGTGGCTCTATGATGTTGTTTTTCCCTATTGCTCCTCAAGACAGACCCGCGTATTTGAACTAATTGATAACATAGTCATCATCTATATCAGCGATCCTAAGTATCTCCCTCCATAAACCCTTCACCAAGATTCCCGTTCATTGCCATTATAACACATTTCCCTTACCATTGATTACCACTAGTTCTGAGAAGTAATTATGACAGAAATACCGATGAATTCACGATTAACATTAGTTAATTTTACCATTGCCGACCATTGCCATTAATTGCCATTAATTGCCATTAATTGCCATTAATTGCCATTAATTGCCATTAATTGTCATTATATAATTACCATTGATTGCCATTCATTACCAGTACCCTCCGGTAATCAAACGTGGGCCGGAAAAATCAGCCAGTTAGTTCGATGATTTTCTCATTCAAACCTTCATTCCCCTCCATTTCGTTCGGGAATATCCCAGCCACCTTGGAATTCCGCCGGCCTCGGCTTTCCATCTGTCAGGGATGGGCCCCTCATGGTTCTTCGCGTGAGTGTGAGCTTCCAAGCGCCAGAACCTCGGCACTGGGGATGCAAAAATGGTGGTAGCTCACCCACATCAGCCACTCAAAATCTACAAAAAATGGAGGATTTGGGCGATGTTCATATCAGAAAGTAGCTTGCAGAATTGGTTTACTCAAGATTTGTAGGGAAACCATGGAGTTTACCCAACTTTTTCTGATTGGCTATATGTTATCCCTTAAAACCGACTTGGTTTTATACATTATTATTATTTTTTCTATTGACATTTTATAGGATATCCCCATTACATCCACAATGCCGATCATATCCAAAATAAACCCTAAACAGGTTAGATATTCCAAATAATAACGTTACATAATCCTTTCCTCCTAAACCCCGTGGACACCCGCCCAAAAAATAATCACCTGGAGTATTTTAATACACATTATAAAATCAAAACCTGAATAAAACAACTATCATTTTCCCTTTCAAAACGCAAACCATCTAAATTCAGCTAGAACAACTACTGCCGAAAAACTAAAACCCCCTTTACTGTATTCCCCTATAATCAAAATCGTAATCAAAGAAACTAAAATGTTCGATTTCAAAAAGAAGACCACAATAAGAAGCACCCCAGGGTTGACTAGATCACATTTTTGGGTATTTCTGGTCTCCTGTTACTTTTGAATTGCCACAATTGCAAAATGCAGTTGACACACAAAACAAAACAAAAACACAAAATCTAGTTTTATTATTTGGGGCGTGTTCAGAAATGGAGAGAAGGGACTATCACCACCATATTAATCCCAATTATATCCCAGTTTCCATCCGCTAATCAAACCTGGCAATGAAACATCCACCATCTACAGTTGATTTTCCCATTAAACCATCGATTTAGAGCGGGGATGTTCAATTGCGATGTTTTTTTTTTATTATTTTTTAATTTGTTTGATTACCGGAGGGCATACTCCCAATTATCAGAATCATCCCAATTATATCTCCATCATATCCCCATGATACAAGGTGGTCCCGGCCAGTTGTAAGTTGGTTTATAAACTCCACTACCTCTAGTTATCAAACACCATATCCAATCTAATCATAAAGCAACTTTTCGTTTTCTAGGGGGCACCACCTATCCCTTTAAGTCCCAATGATCATGATCATAACTGCATTGCCAATCTTAGATGGTCAGTGTTTGCTGGTTAGTTAATATATATATATAATATATACTTATAATTTATTACATATATATATATATATATCCGCATTTCCAGCAACGATTAAAGTACCTAAGTACCCATCCAAGGGTATACTCCCAATTGTATCCCCACGATATACATATCCATGTAAATCCGAATGATCATGATCAACTTGGACTCGCATCAGGGACTTCCCTATGGATTCCCCAAATGGTGGATTTCTCATTGGGAAAATAACAAATCACCGAACATATATACCCAGGTAAATCATCCCTATAATTGAATCCCAAAGAGCATCACTATAAATTCAACTTCTCATCCCTATAAATTCAACTTCTCATCCCTATAAATCTCAGTTATCCCGAAAACACCACTTCTAATACCATCTTCAAAACTTCACTGCCCTCAGCTTCCAGCGAAAGCAGTGGCTGGATCAAGGCCATGAGCAGTATCCCCAAGACCACGCCTGAGCGGGAGCGGTCTTGGGGATTCCATACATAGTACCCCCCAAAAAACAGCCTTTTATGACAAACCCATATCTTAGTATTGTTGATTTTATAACTGACCACATCCCCATATTTGAAACACATATGCATTTTATCTTAATGACATCTCCATTATATGCCCATTTAAGTTATTTGCATTAAAACCTCTTGCGTTTACTTGCCATCTTTTGGGCTTCATCTTTCACCCCTGAAACGCGCCTGCCACCAGCAGTCCTACGCGGATGGCCGGAAATTCTGCAGGAAATCAGCCGCTTCGGGCAGTATCGGGGGGGAACGAACATTCCTGGTTTCGGCGTTCAGATCTAGGGCTGTTTCCTTCACAACTTCATCCAAACCACGGAGAGAACCACCATTACTATTGGTTAGTTGGCGCTGCTGTTGGGTCCCCCATTTTTTTGCGGTGACGTTGGTCGTTCAGGATCAATGCTTTCGATTAAGGCATCCCAAGGTATTGGCCTTGAAATAACCACAAAATAATTGGACCCCCCCAAAATCCAAAGGTATCCAATCATCCCCATCACAGCCGCATCCTCGATATTTTTCTGTTTAACCCACCACTTTTGGAGGGGCTTCTGAAAATCCCTTACATTAACCCCGACAATTGAGGTGATTTTCTGCAACTCTTGGGGTTTCACTAGGAAGCCATGATGCATTTTGATCATATGATACGGTGGTCTCACGCCGGGGATTTGGGGGCTCCCATGTTGCTTTTCAAGAGGTTGCGAACAATCCCAGTGTATAAGTGGGATTTCTCCATGTATCTATCTATGAATCTATCCATCCATTCAAATCTATTTAAGATTATCTAACATTATCTGGTCTCATCTTGATCTATCAAATCTATCACATATATCAAATCTATCACATATATCACATCTGTCAAATCTATGATATATATATAGTCTTATCTAACCTTATCCTACCTTATCTTATCATATCTTATCCAACCTTATCTAATATTATTCAATATCATCTAATCTTATCTAAAGCTTATCTAGTCTTATCATGTCTTATCTAATCTTGTCTAATCTTCTCGACGTTTATCTAAACTTATCGAATATTTATCTAATCTTATCCAATCTTATCTAATTTTATCTAATCCTATCTATTCTAATCATCTCTAATCTATATAATTCAACCTATATAACCAAATCTACTCTGATCTAGTCTACTCTATTCTACTCTAATCTACTCCGATCCAATCCACTCATATCTCTCTGTCTATCCCACGCAGAATTGGGTGAACTAACCAAACAATTACCCTTGGTTATTTAACATAGCCATGGAAAATGACCCATTTATAGATGGTTTACCTATTAAAAATGGTGATTTTCCATGGCTATGTTAAATAACCAGAGGGTAATTCACATGTTGGACCTCACCCCTGATCCCCTGTCCTCTTGGTGCTGAAAGCGACGATTTCGTCGATTTCACCGGATCCTCCGGCTCGGTGCCTCCAGGGACGAGTCGCGACTGCTCTCCGCAGGAACGGATGCTGCTATTATCCTATATATAGGAGTTTCTTAAAATGGGAGATCCACCATTTTTTATTTTTTGGGAAACCTCCATATATACATTGTAAATCATTGCAACCATTTACCTGCAAAAAAAAATGGCTTAGATTATTGCAAGTATCATCCTAGATCCTACTAGTATCTGAGAAACAGGATTCTGTGAAACACAAACTGTATGGGATAGCTTGTTATCGCGTCGTATGGTATTTTTTTTCATAGCGATGATGGGGTGGCTCATATTTATGGGATGGCTCATTGTGTCTTCTACGTACTTATTCATGGGATTCAATGGATCTTTCACAAAAAATGATGGAATATATCACCTTAGAAGGCACTATAGTTGACCTTCTTTTGTGTCCCTAGACCCCTTTTTCGATCAATATTGCCAAATTCTCGCCACTGCCCAAGTGGGGGCTGAGACACATAGCCATAAGCCAAACTGGTTCTTATGCCCGCGACCAATCTTTTAGACCCAGTAAAAAACAGTCAAACGCTATCATTTCCATTTTCCAAACAGCAACTAAACGGTATATTCTAAAAACAACAACATGTACGAACCATTATTTTTTTGTTTGTTTACCATGCTTTACCAACCATCGTTTTCAATGCTTCATGCAGTGCACACATCGTTGCTTGATCTTTGCCAGTGCGCCTGGCGGGTGTGGCACTTCAGCATGCTCAGCGCCTAAACGTTTTCCCGTGGATTGGGGGGTTGGAGCTGCAAAAAAAGGTGGATATGGCATGGATATCATCTGGATATCCTGGATTTCAGCATGCCACGTACATTTCAGGCTTTCTGGGGTTTCGAGGGTCGAAACCAAAGATTTGGGTGAGTGATTTGCAGATATTTGCAGTATTTGGATTTAACCAGTTTCAAACCCAAAGCCTTCAAAGAATCTCTTGGTGGATTTCGGGAGAAGTGCATGTTTGAACATGTTTGAACAGGAAGATTTGTAACTGTTGAAGCCGCAAAAACGCAGGCTCTAAGTGATTGTTGACACAAAGCATCTGAGCCCCCATCCCTGATCATTACAAGCCCCAACAAATGGGACCCCAAAGTGAACAGGGTTTCTTGGGGGTGTGTCAACAAGTTGTGCCATGAACGATTGCATCACAGTGAACATTTGCAATGGGTCCTCCAGCGTAGGCAGGCTCGTCAATGGGAAATCGATGTGCTACTCATGGTTCCGTCTATTGCTGCGCGTTTCGCCCAGAAAGTAAAAATAAAAATAACATGAAACTCTGAGCGAGTGAGTTGGTGCATTCCACTTTTTCAGTTTGCGATGTGGCCTGCACGTTGCCTCTTGCAGCGTGAATGTGGTTGGCAGGTGGTCCTTTTAGTTTCCTTGCCTGATTCAGGGTGTGCTTTGGGCCTCTAGGACCGTTGAGTACAACGATCTTGTTGCTTTGACTTCTATTTCTACTTGGGGGTGTTGATTGCTTAGAAGGAATTCACCAACCAATTTCGGCTTTACTTGGTATTGACTGATATGCAGAAGATCCACATGGTCATGTGGTCTTCATGCTAAACTGCTAACCAATGAATTGGAAAGCGAATCATCTGAATGGCAAATCATATATACATACATGTATGTATATATATATATAATTATATATAATATATATGTACATTGTACACCATTTGGATATATATACTGTATATATGGATATATCATATATTTGGTATTACAGAAATCCATCTCCAATTGACTGACCTCACAACAGCGTTGATCTCCGAAAAATGAGGCAGGCACGACCGCCGGCGCGGCCGTCGGCACTGCGGGTCTTGGAGGCCGCGGCCTCCAAGGGGTTTTCGGGCGGAAGGACCAACCATGGTCGAACTTCGAGTTCGTTTTGGGGATTTTTAAGGGGGAACCTAAGCAGCAAAAAAAGGAAACCACTGATGATTATGTTGCGCAAGATTATTAGTAGCAATTGGGATCTAAAGGAGATATGGGGATGGATCAATAGCTATTGTACCAAATTAATCGGAGAAGAGCATCCCTTTACAAGATATTGTGGACAAGATGGGTATAACAATGATGATAACCTATCTCCACATATAATAGCCTAACTATTAAATAGCTATCTAACCCACGTGGACAAAACCATCTTTAGATCCCAACTGGCCACTGGGGCTGCGTCGAACAACTGGACCTGCTGGAGCTCAAAAAACCGTTGCGACAGTCGCCCGAAAAGCTCTGGTTAATTCATATTAATGGTTAATATTATTAATATTTGGTAACCAATGGTACTGAACTTTCGGCACTGGATTGCAATTTGGTTATTTGGGTTAGCGGGGGGGATGGAATTGGGTTTTTCATTCCTCGAAAAAGCTGGTGATTACGGGATTTTGAAACACATCCCGGGATTTTCACCATGAAACCTGAATGGTTAACCATCAAACATCAGGACTTTAGCAAATATCGGCATCAAATACTTGGGATGTGGGTCATGGATGATTCTCCCTATAATTTCAAAAGGGGCTGTGGTGAACTTTGGAGTTGTGAGCTCAAACGTAGGACTCAGAACATGTCGCATTTATAAAAGGCTATTATTGGGTTGTATCACGTAGTATCTCTAATATCAAATATTCCCTCATGCTGGCGGACCGGCACCGTCATGACACCCCAATTCATTTGCCTGGGCAGAGCCAAACGATTCCTAAACTGGGCGTGTTTGCTATATTTCCCTAAAATGGAGGGATTTTCCTAACATCATCCATATTTTTTTTTGGATGCTTCCCCTAACCGCTAAGCAGCCCTCATTGATGGGCGACATGCTTCCGGGACCTCTTGGGCTTGGCTTTCCCATTGCTAAACATCCATAGACAAGTACGGATCAATGGTTGCTTCTATCTCCCATTCATTATATATGGCATGCTATATTATATATACGATTATATATATATATTATATTATAATAGATCATAATTATTATACTTCCCATCAACAAAAAACACAGGACGCTCTAAAGATCGGCACCCGGGTCTCTTCCAGCATCCCCCGCCTGAAAGGGCGAGGATTGCCGGCCCAATTCCACCTCTAGCTGAGCAATGCGCTGCTCTGCATCATGCAGTCCACGAAGCAGGTCCTTGTTGGCCTGTTTCAGCCTGCGGTCCGCTGCCCTCAGGAAGCTATGGTCCATTTAGTCCCATGATTTACTTTGAACATGGTGATATTCTTGAGATATGTTAGTTTATTAGAGGGTAACTGCTGCACCCATGAAATTTCGGAGCCATGTTCAAAGCTAAACTGATTGGATTCAAATCGCTCATTTCTATGAGTGGCAAATAAACACTAAAAACATAAAACAAAACCGGCACATAGATCCAGCTAAACCATCAGCAAATGGGTGTTTTATAAAATCGCGGTACCTCCAAATCATCCAAACAGAGACTATTTGAATCTATTTTCGGATGGACACCCATTTTGGGAGAGACCCAAATGAAATTTTGATGACCAACAAATGGGAATTTAACAAGAAACAATAGGTACATTAGCATGCCTGAACATGGGACATACCACCCAATTTGCCAGCTTAATAGGTGCAATGATGATTGGCCATTGGATTTAGCGGTACTTTATTTTAAAACGAACCTCATCATATAATTGTTTGGATTGGTTTGCTATGGGAATGTTTTGAGAATTAATTATAGCACAGGAACATGTCCATTTATCAAGATGCGAATTATCGCACCTACTACTGCCAGTATTTGTGGTGTGCTAGCCAAACAAAAAAACATTAAACTTACGGGGGGTTGGGGTTGGGGATACACAGCCAATGACGTGGATTGAACATGATTTAGCCAACAAATCAGGACCTATGGAAGCTGCTGTGTTGCAACGAGAACTTGTCTTCCTTCAACCTTGGCTTGATGCGGCTGCTCGAGCGATGAAATGGTCAGAAGCAGCGCTTCGGCAGCCCGCGTGGCTGCGATTTGGGATGGGCATTGCGCCATTTTGGCTGGCACCAGTCCCCTCAAGTTTTTCTTTCGCTGGATCTAGGCATCATCATCATCATCATCATCATCAGCATCTTCATCATCATCATCATCATCATCATCATCAGCATCAGCATCAGCATCATCATCATCATCATCATCATCATCATCACCACCAACATCAGCATCAGCATCTTCATCATCATCATCATCATCATCATCATCATCATCATCACCATCACCATCATCATCATCATCATCATCATCATCATCATCATCATCATCATCATCATCATGGAAGCAACAATGGAAGTTTCAACACCTGGATTCCCCACACAGTAACCAGGAGAAAGCGGCATTTTACACGATGCAGACTTTAGACAAGCAAACTGAGGAACATAGCATAGCCAGTGCATGGGTATGGAAACACTTCCTTTTTTTAATGATCTGGGAGATTCCAATATTTCATTGATCATGTTTGGCAAAAAACACATGTCCTTCTTGCAAATGACAAAGTGTTCCATCATGTTCGATCCATACACCCTCTGGTAAACTAACATAACTATGGAAAATCACCATTTTTAATGGGAAAACTCACTATAAATGGTCATTTTCAATAGCTATGTTAGTTTACCAGAGGGTATGATCAAAGAAAACACCCCTATCCTTTCAGGTGAGGATTTGGGACTTTGGATGCCGATGATGCCGAGATTTCCCTGGGATCCCCATCAGTGACACACCAACAGCACCAGGGAACAGCCCAGGGGCCCTTGGCCTTTTGAGCTTATCTTGTGTCGATGCATGCACTGCCTGGAAGCTGTGCAGGGTTTGCGGCAAACATTTTCCAAATTGTGATGGGAACTTAAGACCAATTTGACCATGCAAACTGACATCATTCTGAGATTTTATGAGTGGGGATGCCAACCATTCGCCCCATATGACAGAACATCTATCCACAAAATATGCATTCAACAAATCTCCCGCCAGCTTGGATTACCAGAGGCTGCATCCCCAATTTTCCCAATGAATCCCTGGATTTCTCCTCAGCTTTCCTGTTACAATGGCCGTAAAATATGGGGTATTCCCATATTTTCGTCAAATCCCCAAACTTTCTTTGTGAACTCCGAATTCTTCATTGTTGAATCCCCAGATTTGCTTTGTGGACTCCCCATCTCTGCAGGCAAACCCCGGCATGTTTGATGGTTAAGTCATCTTAACTATATAACTCACTCATATGGTTTGTTGCTTACAGCATCTTAAAACTCAATTTTTGATGAAATTATCACGTCTCGCAACTAACATAGACTCCAACTAATTACAGTAATCCACCAGTTTTGGGGGACAAAAATGTCTTCCAACACCCTACTCATGGCAGTGTCCCCATTTTTGTTGGTTAATTCCCCTTTATGCTGGTTGTTTGATAAGGGATTCGCGCTTCATGTGTAATTCATGATATTCAACCATCATTTATGTTAGTTCTATCATGTTATATCCACCTATATATACTATATACCCATGTTTTCATGGTCAAGCATCCCCCATGAACATCAATCCCTATTAAATGACGATAACACCCCTATGAAATGACTACACACCCCGATTATTGTGAAGTGCCTTTAAGCCTACAGTACTTCGAAGGATTAAACAAAACAAAAAAACGAAAACTAAGGTGAAATAAAACCAAACAACAGTTGGAAGAAACGCAAAAAAAAACACACCTAATGACAATTTCAAAAAAAAACAAAAGCAAAAGAAAAACAAAACAAAACACAAATCCAGTATACATTTATATGTGGTCGCTTTTTGTTTCCGCATTTTTTTGTTTTTTGCTTTTCTTTTGTTTTTCGCTCTTTTCTTTCGCAGGTGACCTAGTGACCCGGATCTTTGAACATGTAAAAAACCTGAGGAACAAAAACAGAAAAATAAAAACAAACAAAACAACAGCGAAGAAAGAGCTTTAAAAAGTAAAAAAAACACATATAAATTATCATATAAATGTATGTATTGGATTTGCTTTTTACTGCTTTTGGTTTTGTTTTGATTTTTCTTTTTGTTTTGCTTTTTCTTTTGTGCTGTTCTGATTGACTTTGCATTTTTCATCTTTTTTTCTAAATTAGGTGTCGATTAGGTTTTGCTTTTTTTTTGATTTGATGTATTTTTAAAATCCGTTTTATGTCTTTATATATAATTTTATAGAAGTTGACTGTAAGCCGCATCACAACCCTATTAACCAACCATCATTTATCAGTTTGATTGACTTATATACTGTAACATATTTTAATGGTTGACGACCCTATTTCCAAACAAGCAGGGTTCAAAACCCTCTCTCGCCCCTTTATACTGCCTGCTTTAGAACGGGATTAGTTCATGGATTCAGACAATCCCCAATATATTGGATAGCATCATAAAATAATCCACCAATACCCCCCAACAACATCCCCATATTTTGATGGTTAAAAACCCAACATCATCATTCACCAATAGAAAAAAAACCATCCCCCAACATCACCATAATTAAATGGGATGCCAAAAGAATCATCCCCAGTAATGGTAGCAGTGGCTTTCCCATATTATTCACCACATGATCATTAGATTCTGTAAGTTGACATTTTGATGATCATATATCCACATATGGGTATGGATCAATACCTATTAATACCATTTTTAGGGGGATGAACATCCATTTACCAGCTATTTTGATGTTCACCAGGGGTACAAGGTTTTGACACACTGCCATATGTCCACATATGCCCCCGTGTGTCCACATTAATCACCCGCCTGCTTTTCGAAGAGGTCTGTCTGCAGAATCGCCGCCGCCTCCTCAAAGGAACGTCCTACGGTGCCGGACATGACGGGTGGCATGGAATGATTGGGGAAGCATTTGGGGATGGCTTTTACCAACCATTCACGGTAAGTTTTTGGTAGGGTTTAGGGGGAATGTTGCTGATCTATTTGGTTTAATTAGTTGCGAAAACTTAGAAGTTTTGCCATAGTTTTTCCATCAAATATAGAAGTTTTTCCATGGGAAACTTGTAACTGGAAACTATGATCACTGTTGTCATTCAAGGACTGCAAGGCCAGATCCAGAAACCTGGGAATGTGTTCACAACAGGGATGAGGTAAAAGTGATATAATGAGATGATAATAGTGATTACTGACAATAGTGATACTATTACTAATCATAGAGATGATCTGTCTGTGATATAATAGTGATTACTATGTAGTGCTGTGATATAACGATGAAGATATTAGTAGCAATGCGATTCGATATACTGCTATAGGAATATCTCATCGTTAGCAATCACTATTGTATCATTAACAATATCTCTTTTGGGCAAAACAAGAATGATAACCATGATAGGGATACATCACCAACAACATGGTTTGGGTTTCAGACAAACCCATGTGGTACAAGATATGATCTACGTACTATCAGGATACATATACCATGTACCATTTCTGGATTGTTCCTATCAATTCATGCATGTATGCATGCATGCATGAATGCATGGATGCACGGAATGCCCGTAATGCACTTAATGCACACAATGCACCTGATGCACATAATGCACGCAGCATGGTTCAGAGGAATATCACAACCTGGCAAGTGATGTCGAACTCAGTTCGAAAGAGAAACCTTATACCGAAGCATGGTGGTGTTCAAACAGAGTAACCACCAATACAATATTTCATAGGCTTGTCTAAAGACAGGTAACCCATTTCATCCACGGCTTAATCATCATTGCACCTTTGAACATGGACACACATACACATATATATATATATATATGTATATAGAGGGATATACATGGATGTACCACATTTTCAGACAAATCCATGCGCATACAAATACCTAAACGTCACCTCAACGGCGATCTTCCTGTTCTTAGCGGTTTTTTATGGTTTTTTGCTCTCCTGCCATCTGCTCGCGTTTGAGTTCAGGGCGGTGAGCGAGGTACGCCTGCGTTGGTTCATAGCCCCCGAAAGGACTCCAGGTATATCTACAATAACAATCCATAAATCGAACTAGCTAGCTATGAGACACCATCTTCTGAACTAGGAAAACTTGAGGTCATGGAAAAAAGGGAAAAACTGTGATGCGATGTGAGAACTGATAACTAATAACATATATTATTGGTCTGGCCAAACAAATTGTATTCGCCGCGCATGTAGGTCATGAGATCGATTCCCATACGAATCATCACTCTCTGAGTAAGGTTGGCTATAGGTTGAACCGCTATTGCTTGTCCAAATACAGTGATTGTCTGGTGGTTTAAAACCCAACTTGGATTGAAACATATTGAAACATATTGAAACTATCTACCGGAAGCCTGGACCGCCGGTCGACCACCCTCTTTTTAACGCAACTGAGCAGAAGTCACAAACAGCTCACTGTGATGAATTGAGACGAAAGACTCCTTGGATGACTTGTCGGTGGGTTCATCATGGTTCATCCCATTTCTGGTGACTTCTGGTGGCCCGGAAACGCAGAAATGTCACTTGGGACGTCCCATTTGTGATGAAAAACACGGATATCTAGTGGCCAATAGGGTGGCCAATGTAAGCATTCCTAAGATTCGTGATTCTTAGCTGGGTCCATCTCCCTGAAGCCCATCGTTCCAGGTCCAGAGTAAATGCTCCCAACTTTCCATTGAACAAACACCGACTGTGGATTAGTTGTTATGCAAGGTGTTCTGAACGACATGTGGAACAAATGCTAACAATGTCTTAAACAAAACAGATTGCGATAGCATGATAAATCCCGTTTTGATTATCGGATCTTAGGCAATGTTTTACATCAAATGAAATAAGATAATATATCATGATCATTCATGATCCATGATGGCCGAAAGGCAGGCCAAAAAATCCCATGATGATTCGTGTGGTCGATTCCTGCGGGCTGCCACGACCTCGACCGCAGCCCCTGAAACACGGCGAACAACAACCAAAGTAGAAAAAGTGACCGAATATTTGGCTGAATGATTCCTAATGTGTATCTGGATGTAGCGAGCTATTTTAAAATCCCTGCAAATCTTCCATGATTTGACACTTCCACAATTAGACGCAGAAGATCTATCATCACCTTCCCCACTAAGATTACCCCAACACCGAGTAAATCCCCTCTTTCCTGACAATTCCACAGCATGTTACTGCTTGTATCCAATCATATCCCCATCATATCATTCTAGCATCATTTTATCCCCTTGAATGGCACCTTATCATCAAGCAATCAATTTATCAATGATCTTCCCTTATTTTTGATGGTTTAAATCCCACATTTTTAGTGGTTAAAGTGGTTCGATCCGATTTTTTAGTGCTCAAATCTCAGTTTTAACCAGTGGTATCCTTGTTTTTGATGGTGAAATCCGTTTTTTTCCCGCCATTTCTGGCTTTCCCCGGATGACGGACGCCCAAGTTTCTGAAGACTTTTCGGCAGCTCATAGTCCACCGGGATGGGCATTCCACCTGGGTGGAATACGATGTACATGACATAGATACTATATCATACTACATCTATCTATCTATCTATCTATATATATATATATATTGTAAAATGGCAGTCGACTGTTGTATGAACTGTTGATGCCGGAGCTGTGCGCACTGTTGCCTTTTGCACTGTTGGGCAATGGCTCAAGGCCTGTAAGCCACATGTGAGACATGGTATGCATGTTGGGACCAATGTTACATTCTAACACGCCCCCTCGACATGTTGGCTATTGTTGCCTGCATGGCGAATCTAAGAATGTTGACACTGTACACTTTACATTCATCAGTTGTTGAAGAAAGATGTTGTCTATTGAGATAGTGTACATCTATTCATCGGAAACTAATGTTGTCAGCTGCACTCCATGTTGACGTCGCCATCATCTCTGTTGGTTTGGAGTGTTGACTCCAGGATGTTGCAGTTTCACCCTTTGTTGCTGAATTGTTCAGCCATCCCGTACCTCCACGCTGTCCTCGATGTTGTGAGGCATGTCCTCATCATCTTCTCTGTTCTCTGGGTTGGAACTGTTGCGATACTGGTTGTACTTCGCAACGAACTGTTCCATGTTGGTGTTGGCTGTGATCCATTCGATCACTCTGGCGTTGCCCCTCAATCTCTCCATAGTCTTGTTGCCTCCCATGGAGATTTGATGGAGATGACGCCAATTCTGAGGTGTTGACAGCAATCCCCATAGGCGAACTGTCTCATCAGTGGACAGTTGTTGGAGCACTGTTGCCCCAGAGTATTCCAAAGATTGGAGAAAACAGATGAAATGACCGTTGTTCTCAGCAGAGATCAACGATGTTGGAAACACGTAGTTGTAGGTCCACATGTAGTTGTTGGACCAAGACAGCTCTGTTGTCACCTGATGAAGGACAGTGTTGTCCCTTGACGAGGTGACTTCCCAGATCTGTGTTGATACCTGTTCATCAACTGTGAACCGCATGACGTTGCCTGCCTGGATCTGTAATTGAGGTCGAACGTAGCCACGGTTGAAGATGTCGACCGTATTGTTGCCCAGGCGTTGGAGTTGTTTCAGCTTGTTGACAACCACACATGTCAACATCCACGTGTGGTGATTTGCTGACTCCAAATGCAACTCTGTTGCATGATAGACACATGTTGTGACCGCGGCACCTGGGTCTGTTGACCAGATGGCTTTATCAAACTCTGGCATGAGGATGTTGCCACTAATCCCCAAGAGTCGGTTCGTTGTTGGGCACAGCGCTGACTGATGGATCTCTGTTGGAAGGCAGATCCACCATGCTTCCAAACTGTTATTCTCCATCATCATGTTGAAGGCATCCGGGTTGAGGCCTTCAGGGTTGTTGGTCGCGCTCATCTGAATGGCCCTTGTTGTCAGGCCAATGCTGCCCAAGGTCACCTTGTGTGGGGACCTGTTCACAGGTGGAGTTGTCAACGCATTGTTGACTAGGGACATTGTTGCCGTAGGTTTCAACGATGTTGAAGCTCGAGGTCTTGTTGAACCAAACGGCTTTGATCAATAAACTTGTTGTCAACGAAATGTTGACCTTCAAACATCAGATGCAAAACATGTTGAATTCAAGAAAACTGTTGAAACACTGTACTCGAAAGTCGGCATGTTGTCAAACGTGATCATGTTGCCAAATACGTCCACAATCATGTAGTACACATCATGTTGAAGAAGTATATGACATAGTTGATCATGTAGTGATACTTCATGTTACGAGGATGTAGGTGAAATAGAGGATGTTGCTGACCTTTGTCAGCACCATGGCTCTCTGGATCTGTATGTTTGTGTGTGCATGCCACGCACGATGTTCGCACGTTGTGCACGCGCTCACACATGAACACGCATGCTGCAGTGAAACTGTTGTTGTTGCTTGTTGTTGTTTGCTCAGTGACGCTGGGTGCTGATGCCAACATCACTGATGTGACGCAAAAGCGTCTCTGTCGCGACGTACTTGGTGAAAATGTCGGCCGGGTTATTGGTCGTGTTGATCTTGACAATCCTCACAAGATCGTGTGCGACCAGTTGTTGTATGAAAAGGTGCTTGAGCTCGATATGTTTGGCTTTCTTTGATGCTCCAATCCTGGTTGCCATGCTCTTTCCGCTTGATGAGTCGGTGTGTATGCGGATGTTGATCTTCTTCATATTGAGAGCTTCCTTCAGGAAATTGCTGATGTGGAGTGCTTCTGTTGCTCCTGTGTTGATCGCGTAGAGTTCTGCTTCCGCGCTGCTCAGCGCGATTGTTGCCTGCGTCCTGCTTCCATAGTGGATTGTTGCTCCAAAGACTTTGATCAGAAATCCTGTTGTTGACTTCCTCGTTGTTGCACATCCTGCCCAGTCGCTGTCGACAAAGACTTGGATGTCTGGTACTGCTTCAGCTGTTGGTGTCTTGGTTGTTGGTCTTATGTATTGTTTGTAGTGTTGTGTTCCCTTGATGTACCTGAGCAAGTGTTTCAGTTTCTGCTGGTCTGCTGTTGTTGGTTGTGTCAGAGCTCTTGCAAGCTCCTTTGTTGCAAAGCCAATGTCTGGCCTTGTGTAGGTCATCCATTGTAGCTTGCCAACCATTCTTCGGTAGGCTGCATGTTCTTCTTTGTTGAGTTCTTGTTCCATCTCTGATGTTGCTTTCAGAGTATTGTTGCCTGGTGCTGGTGCTGAGTTGCAGTTGAGCATGCTGGCTTCTTCTAACAGCTCTGTTGTGTAGCTGTCCGCGAGACTGATCTCATAGTAGTCACCTTTGTTGCAGATGTTTCTGCCCAGAAAGCTGATGGTGTTGCCGACTGTGAGTTCTCCTGTAGGACGTAGTAGAAGGTGTTGCTGAATGCTCTTGAACAGCTTGTGAACCGTCTCCTGTTGTCCAATGAAGAGCAGGTCGTCGACGTAGCATAGTATGTATGCATCTCCTCCAGGTGTTGCGTAAACGTTGGGCTCGCTGACAAGTCGTCGTAGTCCAAGTTGTTGCATCACCTCTGCTAGGTGATTTTGCCATGCTTTTGGGCTGCTGCGTAAGCCATAGATGGCTTTGTTGAGTCTCCAAACGATCTGGTCGAAGGCGTTGTAGAACTCTGCTGGTGGATACATGAAAAGATCTGCTGTTGCTGCTGCGGCATGTAGAAAGGCTGTTGAGATGTCTCCTGTGAGACAAATCCAGTTGTTGCAAAGTGCTAAGACAAGTAGCATCCTTAGCACGCAGAAGATTGGTGTTGATGCAAAGATGTCGTCGTTGTCGTTGATCTCCTCAGTGTAGCCCTTTGCTACAATTCGTGCTCGAACTGTGTTGCCTTTCTGTCGAAGGACCCATCTTGATTTGATGATCTTCTTGCGTTGTTCTGGTGTAAGTTGGCTTATGTGTACCTCTGTGTACACTCCTTGTTCCTTCATTGACTTGATTTCTTGCTTCATTCCTTCCGTTGTTTGTTCTTTTTCTAAACCTTCGGTATTGCTCACCCAAGGTTCCAGGAGAATCTTTTCAGCTTGTATCTCCTGTTCATCTTCGTTGGAGGTTGCTTCTATCTTCTGTCCTTTCCTCGTTGTGACTGTGACTTGTGATATCCTCATCCTTGTTGTTGGTGGCTCCTGAGCTGTGTCAGGTCGGCTGGCTGCTGTGGCTCTTTCTGTTGTCCTTGCTTGCTTTGGTGAGCTGCCTTGTGTAATCTCATCTGTTACTTCTCTTTTGCTTTGTGTTGGCATTGGAAGTGCTTGCTTTGCTTGCTGTGTTGCTGGCGCTGTTGCCATTGGAAGGTCCGTAAGTGCTGGTGGTGGTGTAGCGTGTGGTTGTACCATGGCTTTTGGTTGTGGACTCTGCTGAGTCTGTGTGCTTGTTGTTGTCTGCTGCTTTGCTGCAGCAGGTTGTGGTAGTACCACAATGCTTGGTGTTGTTGGTGGTATCATGGCTGGCGAAGAGTTGATGATGTCCATCAACTGCTTGTTGTACTTGTCTGGCTTGATTTGTCTTCGAATGGTCCTTGCTTTGACCACTTTGTTGCTGATGCCAAGTATGTTCTCGTTTGTTGAGTTGTCCTTACCTAGTCAGATGGCTGGGTAGAACCTTGCTTCCATCTTTGGCATCTGCTTTGCTGTTGGTAGCATGTAGAGAACTGTTTCACCAAAGTCACATATTGGTGTTTTGTGTTCTTTGCCCCATCGTCTATAGTAGCTTGTGTTTCCATCTGAGTGAATGGAATACCTGTTGAGCAGGTATGCTACGTGTTTGACAAGCCACGGCATGATGGGATGCTTGCTGTTGAGCTTGATGCCATAGTTGGTCTCCAGTTGGAGTTTGAGGGCTCTAACTTGGCCAATCAGTGTTCTGTGGAAACGTTCAACGCTTCCTTGTGCTTGTGATGTGTAGGCTGGTGCTTGCCTGACTGCTATGTTGCTACCCATGGCTGTTGCCACCATCTTGAGCAAGGAGATGATAAAGTCTTCCTGGTCTGATTGAAGAACGGTGTTGTTGAGAATTGCATGTGTTCTGCCACATTCCATCAGGAATTGTTGAAGGCAAACTGACAGGTATTGTACGTGCTGCGTCTTGTCCTCAAGTTGGACTGCCATACACATGCCTGTTTCAACGTCCACTGCTGTAAGGACTGATGTTGTTTGCTTTTCTCCTAATGCTTTGTAGTACATCAGATCCACTTGGATCACTGGTGTTTTGCTTGTTTGCTTTGGATGGTTGTCCTGTCTTCCTTTGCTTTGTACACATGTTGGACACCAGCTTCTGTAGGGAAGGTGTGTGAGCTCGTGTTCTCTTCTTTCTTGTTCTGTTGGTTGTTGTGGTGTTGGCACTCCTTTTGCTCTCTTGGCTTCTTGTTGCTCCTCTGGCTCATCTGTGATGAACTCATCTTTGTATGCTGCGTTTTCTTCAAAATTTGTTGAGCCTGTCCACTCTATGTCGAGTGTTGCTCTCCTCTTTGTCGTCCAGTCATCATCTATTCTATATCCTCTGTTGCCACTTGTTGGCTTCACAATTGTTTGTCTCCATGTTGTCAGTCTTGTCACGTCTGGTCCATCATCTGCTTGTTGTGGAATGTACATGTCCCTTCTTGGTTGGACATGCACACGTTTCCAATATGGACCTTCTTTGATCCAATAGTCCTGTGTTGGACTGACTTCCTTTGGATGTGGAATTGCTGTTTGATATGGCTGCGTTGCGGTCATTGCTTGGTCTGTTGGCCTTACCTCTGTGAGAGGCTTCTTCACGTTGTGTCGATACATTGGTGCTTGTGGTTGGTCGGCTGTGGTTTGTTGAGATGGTGTCGCTGGCTCTTTGGCTGGTGGAAGTACTGGTTGTGGTGGTATGTTGCCTGCAAGTACTGTTCCACGTTTCACTTTGAACCATGTTTCTCCTGTCCAGTTGTTTCCTTGTATGATCCTCTTCTGTTGCTTCTTGTCGAGGTCTTGGTATGCTTCTTCGATGACCTCTGTGTTGTTGTTCGGTCTTTGTATGATTGTTCTTCTGTAGTTCTCCAACCTTTCTGTTGGAACTGGACATCTACTGTCTGGCATGAACAATGCCTTGCGTGTTGTCCTGTGGACTCTTACCAAGAAACCTTGGCTGTTGAATGTCCATAGGTCATTCTTGTTGCGAAGGATTTCCATGCCTGTTGGTGTCAGTGTGACTGGTGCTATTTTTGCTGTTGTTCCTTCTGCTGTCTGGCTGACTTCAAGTCTCAAGTTGGCTGGAAGTGTGATCAGCACAACTGGCAAGAAGTATAGGCCTTCTCGTTGTTTGAGTGCTGAGTTGAATCCCTTGGTGTGTGTGATTGTTGGTGTTTCGTTGAGTTGTGTGTTGAACCCTTGTTCTGCCAGTCTTGTTACTGACATGATGGGTTGCGTCACATCACACACATAGAAGGGAACAACTATTGTTTGCTTGTTGGTGTTGTGCATGTACACCCATTTGTAGCCATGCACTGGGATATCCTCATCTGTTGCTGTCCTCAACCTAGGTCCTTGTCCTTGTTGTAGTGGATACAGTGGTGTGTCTGGTGCAAACCATGTTGGGCAAACGTGTGTTGCTGCTCCACTGTCAATCATAATGTCCACCTCGTTGTCTCCTCTCTGCTGCTGCACTGCGTGAGCTGTGGTGGTTGCTTCATTGTGGGCACTTGCTGCCTGATGGCCCAGTGCTCCCACAAGTTGTATTGTTGGTGTCTGCGTGTTGGTTTGTGGCGCTGGCAAAGCTAGTTGTTGTTGTTGTTGTTGGACTGGCTGGATATTGTAGTTGCCTGACTGGTCGTTGCTGTACCAGTAGTTGTCGTACCCACTGTTTGGGTCATACCATTGGGATGTTCCATCCTGGTTCTGTTCCTGCGGTGTCTCTGTCATGTTGTACACCGCTGTTCGGCAATCCTTTGCCAAGTGGCCCTGTTGACCACATCTGTAGCATATTGCTGTTGGATTCTTTCCTTTTCCTTTGTTGGGAATTCCTTTCGACTTTCCTTTGTTGCCTTTCTCTACTCCTTTTGGCTGATACCATTGCTGTTGTTTTCCTTTGCCTTTTCCTTTGTTATAACTGCCGTAGCCGCCGTAGCCCTTTCCTTGTTGGTATCCTCTTCCTTTGTGACCTCCTTTGTTGAATCCTTTTCCTTTGTTCTTTCCTTTTCCTTTTCCTTTGCCTTTGTATGTTGCTCCAATGTCCATTGGAGCTGGGCCTCCTCCTAGATTGCTGCTGACTGCTGAAGACGACTGTTGTTGAAGTCTTGAGAACGCCGTGGTGGTCCTGTAGTACTCCATGATTGTTGTCCTCACCTCAGCATATGTTGGTGTTGCACTGGCATTGAGGTGTAAGTGTTGTTGGAGTGGTCCTGTTGTCTCATTCATGAGAACTGCTATCTTCACTTGGTCTGGTAGTTGTGCATTGTTGTCACGCTCGTAACGTGCAAGCTCAAATTCCCATGTTGAGAAGGACTCCTCAAAGTTGTTGGTGTCGAACTTGGGTTTGAGTAGTTTTGTGAGGTAGCCTATGCTTCTTGTTCCAACAGGTATTGCAAACCTGTTGCAAAGTTGCCTGTAGACTTCCAAGCCCATTGCGTCTTGGTACTGTCTGCATATTGTTGCTGCTGGGCCGCTGGTGATGTTGATGAGGATGTACTTGAGGTTGTTACACAGTTGTGTCCACTTCTCTCCTTCCTCTATTGTTGTTGCTGCACCAAGCAGCTCTGCATCTGTGAGCACTGTTGCTGCTCGTTCTGCTCTCGACAGCAGTTGTGGAAAGATGTTGTCTTGTAGGCCCATGTACGCTGAGAACTTGTACTTCCAATCCTCAAATGTTGCATAGTTTCCATCGTATGTTGGAGGTTTCAACTTCAGCCTGTGTGTTGATGCTAGGGCTTCTGCCTGTGCTTCTCCTGCTGTTGGCGATCCTATCTCATATGCCGTTGCCATCCTTGTTGTTGAGAGTCCCCCACACTGTGTAGTTGGGATCAAGCCCTCTTCCTGTGCGCTTTGTTGTTGTGTTTGTTTCCTTTCCTTGTCGTTGCAGTGGTGGTGTGTTGGGCCGCTACCCTTTGTTGCTCCAGCTGTTGTTGAGAGTCCCCCAGTGTTCTGGGATCAAGCCCTCTGCCTGTTGGAGCTCACCTGGATGCTTCCAGGATCACTGCTCCGCTACCATGTAAAATGGCAGTCGACTGTTGTATGAACTGTTGATGCCGGAGCTGTGCGCACTGTTGCCTTTTGCACTGTTGGGCAATGGCTCAAGGCCTGTAAGCCACATGTGAGACATGGTATGCATGTTGGGACCAATGTTACATTCTAACATATATCTATAGTCTCTTATACATAACATATACATAAACCAACATAAATTTATGGTTCTACGGTGACCCAACCGAAACCGTGGATATGATTAACAAGGCAATGACATGTCAATGGCATATGATGATTATGATGAGGACAATTATGGTTGATATGACTGTATCCATACTCATTTCATAGATCCTCATGTCGGGTGGACTCACCTACGCAAAAATAGACTGTAAAGCATCTTCAAGAAATCCAGAAGCAGAAATGGCGGATGCACACCAATCATAGTAACACGATTTGAAAAGTAGATTCTGAGCGTATGATTTTCTGATTACTCATCCAGTTGTAAGTGGGACACCCTCTTTTGACAAGGCTTGAGTATATACTATCCACCCGGCATTTCAAAATTACCAATTTGGGGTTATTCAATGACTATAAACCAAGGGATACAATGGTCACTTTGAATGGCCTCTGGTGGTACATCTCCAAAATTTCTGTCAACAACATCATGTGACAACTGGCCCATTCATCTTCAAAAAACGACTATGGGTCAATATGTACCCTGGCACAAAAAAATAAACATCAAATCATAGCTGGGATTTATGGATGGTAATTTGACACAATTTGACCCATCCCCATATGAAAAACACCCGAAAAAACGGGGTCGTCTTCCCTTCGTTCTAAATCAAGGCACCAAGCGTAAGACGTTGAAGGTTGCTGGGAAGCTTCACCCTCTTGAGACTTTGACAGAAATCACTCCCCAGCCTTAAACCTCGGTGGTGAAATCTGTCACATGAGGGATTTAACCAACAAGTATGAGAGTGAAAATGAGGACATAGTGCAAGCATTTTCGAGCATGGTTTAGGGTCCATCTTTCGGTATGTTGGAATATCTATTGGTAACTGTCAGTATCCTTTTTCGTGTGTCTTCGTAACTTTTGTCATCTTTAGAATCTTTAAGCATCATTTAGCGCCTTTTTGGTAGCTCTTGGTGCCTTTTAACATCGTTTTGTATCTATGAGTATCCTTTAGTGTTTTTGTCGCAATATTCGCTTAATATTATTTCGGTATATTTTAATATCTCTTTGAGTATCCAATGACAACTTGGGATCTATAGCGCACAAAAAAGTAAGCAGGACAACATCTAATTATTATATAATTGTATATATATATATATATACATACTATTTTTGTATATGTGTATTATATAATATATGGCCATTTCAAAACATGGGCAAGCTATCGAATCCAAGCCTCTCTGCTTGGGAAAAAACACTTCAGTTGGAGGTGTAACTGTCAAACATCAGCTTGATTTTGGGAAAAACATGGAGAATGGGGCTGAAGAAATCCAGAAACTTTGTAGAGTGCTTGGCAAGCTGATTCCTTCCAGACTGTGGTTGAATCGATTCCCAAAGCTCAGCACCTCGAGCTTACTTGGAAACAGCACGCCTTCCAGGCTTTGATTGTACCAAAAGCCAAAGGTCATGCTGCGAAGGCTCTCCGGAAACTTCACCTTCTGCAAGCCCTGGTTGAACTCATGCCCAAACGTCAAGGTTTCCTGGTGACTTTGCAGTCCGTCCGAACAAAAAATCTTCGTCACTTGGGATCATTGTACCTGTTTGTATCCATGTTTTCAGATGATTTCTGGGATATTGGGAGTGACTAAGTGGAACAAACAGGCCACCAAGAAAACATCTTTGACGTTTCGAAGACCGCGTTTCAAGACATTCTGGCAGGACCACATTTTGCAGCCGCTGATTCCAGGAATCCGGCAGGGTCAAGGTTTTAATGCTGCGGGGCAAGGTGACGCCCTCCAAGCTTTGTTTGAACCTCATTCCGAAGACCAAATTCTGAAGACCCTCCGGTAACTTCACCTCACCAGGAAAAAGGCACGTACGTGCCGGGTATTGGTGGGAAAGGGAAGGTTTTGCAACCAAAGAATGGGGTGAATTGGGAAATTGCCACATTTGTTAAGGAGTTAACGAATGTTAACGAGCCAATATGAACAAGTCATGAAATAACAACTCTTTCAGTATTTGCTATGAATTCACATGAATTACGTAGCAAAAGATGTGGATCCAAATGGACACCCTTGCCAACAACTGCAGGTACTCTGTACATAATAAAAACAACTCCAGCAACTCTCGGGTTACGGCCAAACTTACATACTCTACAAAAACATCGAAAAACAAAAATACTTGGGTACAGTAGTACATACCGCCATGTATGCCAAACAACTCCAGCTACTAACGTATCTGAAACTACTCTTCATGGCCTGAAATCCAAATATTGTTTTTTTTTGGTATTTACCCATAACACTTGATGGTTTGCCCCTCACCTTGTCGATCTTCTGGTTGAAACATCCACCAAATTTCAGGCTTTGAAGCCCTGCTGGCAACTCGATCCCTTCCACGCTCTGATTGAAGTTATCACAAAATGACAAGCTTTGAAGACCACCTGAGCACGCTGAGGGTGTGGAAGCCTGGAAACCACATGAAAACATGAACAAAAATGGTGAAGATGTGATTCACCTTGACATACCTCAACCGAACCCTTGCTTCGCCTTACCAACCATCATTTATCCCGAAGGAGAATCCATTATCCGAATCACAAGTAGTAAAACCAGCCATAACCGTCAATCACCATTTCAGCTAGGCTCTGTAGACGGTCTAGTCTATATTTCCATCTTTGGAGCTGAACCCCCATGTTTTTTTTGGTAAAATCCCGATGTTTGCTACCATAAAAACAAGATCTTCTTCGCCCTGCTACCCATGCAACATAATGCAATCCATAAAAAAACGTGACGCAGCATGGAGAACATGATAAACGTGGGGTAACCGTGCCATGCCCCCACTGCCCCACCTGGAAGTTCCAACTCCTCCAACTGCATGTGAAAGAATCGCGTGAAGGGCAGCGTCAGGGACTTCACGCCGCTGGGCATGATGAGACGGCTGAGATTTTGGTCGTAGCAGTCCCCGAAATTCAAGGTCTCCAGTTGCTCGGGCAAGGTGAAATCCAAAAACCTCCAATGGTCCAATGGTCCGACCCAGGGAGTTGACCCGAGACCCCAGGATTCTGTGGAAACTCTGGGTTGACCCCAGGTTTCATGGCTGGCAAAGGTGGATTTTCCAACCGAGATTTCCAGCCAGGGTAGTTTTTCTGGCCTTCTAATGCTTGATACAAGTCGGGATTTCCATGGTGGAGTACAATCATCATTAAACATCATGAAACCAGCTAGTTCCTTTCCCCAGCAAATACTCCCCATCAACCGCTTCCAAAATGAATAGATCCAAGTTTGGCTTGTTGGAGCAAACAACCCCCATATATATGCCATGGCCAAAACACCGTACATGGGCTACGTTCATCCCAGCAGGAAATTGAGAATCCTAGATAGTCCTAGTATATATATATAAATATGTATGTTGAAATAATTCCAGCTTTTCACGGTGCTATGTTCATCTCCCAATTATAATAATTATATAGATCCGATTCATGGCTACATCGACGCCACCTTTTGATGCCACGCTGCCTGGCATCGAAATTCAACGTCAAGGTCTGGAGACATGAGAGCTGCTCCAAATCCATCAAGCTATGCTTGAAGGCACGGCCGATCAGCAACCTGGCAGCCATTTGTTTGTTGAATGGAATGCTTAGAATCAACGATAGGGGAAACACTGATAAATGCTGGTTGAGTGCGATTTTTCCATCATTTCTTTATCATGACATGTATGCAGAAAGATCATGGTCTGGAGGACTTTTCAATAAATGAATAAAGTTTATAAAACAACATGCGTGTGTGTGTGTGTGTTCATGTGACTTTATGATAGTTTGAGGATGTTTAAGGTGTGCTTCTAGCTAGTCCCATGTGCTTACAGCAGAGATAGAAAAGGAAAGCTTAGCAAGACGGTAGGTAGCCTTCAATCCCTGAAACAAGAAGATATTTGTATTTGTTGTCCTAATCAACCTTGGATGCAGTGGTCACACCTGATGAGGCAGTAGCTTGCACATTAGGCAACAATAAACTACAAGGACCTGAAAGCAAACCCATCAAAACAGCCAGGTAGAATTCAGTTCGGGAGAAATATACTGCAATGCAAAGTTTTGGCTATGAAATATTGTATTTAGCCAATGAATTAGAGCCAGAGATAATCGGAATTCAATTTTGACCGGTTGCGCCATACTCAAACGATAGGGTGGTGTTTGCTTCTTTGTTGCATGTCTTGAAAGCAAGCGTGAACAAGAGGAAACAACACTTTTGATTGACAGGAGAGTTCATTTTTTTGCCAAACCAGTGCTGGATCTTCTTGACAGAAATCCCTGCATTGTAAAGAGATATGGCATGTTTTGCACGGATAAGCATACTGTTCTCTTGAAAAATGGAGTGTTTTCATGTGTTTTCAGCTCAGTGTTTAAGGGCAACAGCAGGCTTTTCATGGAACATACTTTTTCAGCGAGGAGACTGCGTTGTTTAAGAAATTTTGATGCTGCCTCTTCAAAATAAACTTGGATTCCTTTAAAGAAATGTTCCACATTTGAAAGGGGTTCACTCTTTTCCTAAGCAATCCTTCATACATCAAATGAAAAGTGCGTTTGCACTAGTTGAGAAAAATAATGTGTATATATATTATATATAATATATATATATATTATATATATATATATCAGTTATATGTGTATTAAGTCTTATATTTAATTGAACACATATTTAATCAATTGATGAAGGCTATACTACACTGGTTTAAGGCATATTGCATCTTTTAAATTCTTACAGTTTGCTGACCAGAAGCTTGCACGTTCTGCAGAAAGGATTCAGTAGGGCAATGTGTTTGGAGGTTGCCTCTTCTGTGTATTTATGTATGTTCTATCTAAAAGAGGCATGGCTTTTGGCTGAAAACAAATTGCAACACGGCAAACAAGATTGCACACCCCAAGTGCCTTTAAACACAGAGGGTTTGGTCCAGACATGTTGTTTTTTAATATTATGTTTAGTGCCTAAAACCCTTTTGGAACAAGGAAACCAACCCAAATCCAGAAAATACACCACTTGGATGGGCCAATGGAGAATTCTGTTTTCTTTTCTTTGTTTTTTTTCCAGTGTTTTTGAGGCTTTTGACAGTTCCCCATTTGGCAGCTGAGCAGCAGCTGCGTCTATTCAAATCCGTTACAGACATGAACATTTCAGAAGGTCAGATCCATCAGAGTGCACTACCTCATGACATGTACATGAATTACAACACTATTTTTTAAAGGTAAAATCGCACTTTGGTGGCCTGCCGTTCTGCCTTTCATTTCAATAGTGGGGATATCATGGGATACCGCCAGCATGTGGACATAGATGGATGTAGCAGGTTTGAAACCCTACATAGGGGTAATAGGGAAACTACATGAAAATACGGAAAACAATGACTAACCAGTGGCTTTTCGGGTACTGTAGGCCCTAGTTTTAAAGTTTTAGGTTTAATGCTACAGTAGTCGATGAGAACTGATCAAATGCGGGGCCCAGTCATCAGGGTAAAATCTGATACTGAAAATCGTGTAGAGACTTTGATTGAGGGAGAACTGCTATGGGGGTTTCTTAAACTGGGGGATCCCCAAAACCATGGGTTTCAAAACTAAAATTGCCTAATGACTTGGATGATTTCGGGTTACCCGCGGGTACCCCCCATGACTTAGGATTCTCTTTATCCCAATAAAATCCGCAGATGTGGAAAGCGCAACCATCCACTGCAACCACGCTCTCTCGAATATCTTCCCCTTTGTCGGGCAAATCTTCATGTTTGTATTTGTGCTTTGTGGTTCTGGGGACCCATTCCAACAACAAATCACTAGCATTTCTGATGCAGGGAATCTGAGCCTTACCATGATGAAACATTCCTTTTGATTGCTGCTTGAAAATTGCGAGTCAACGTTTTTTGAATGATCCAAATAGTATTGAAAACTACCAGCAGTCCTCTACCATTCACAACGTCGCAGTGTAGCCATTTTGGTTGAATGAATTCCCAGTCTTTTGGCTTAAATTCCCAAAAAATCACCTACAGTTCCCTTCACCAAGGTTTGCCCAGCTCGATGACTCTATGATTTCAAGCGGATTCTCTTGCGTCAATTTGCTAATCTCTCCAGTCCTCTTGATGAAATCTCCATATCCATCATATCCAGAGTGGGCAAACAAAGCATCAGCTCAATCCAACTGACTCTCCCTTTCCTCAAAATTGTTTTTGAAAGATGTGCTTTCCCCTTGTAAACTTCAATTTCAGTGTTCCCTGCCTTGTTATTTTTCAGGGTAAAAACTCAATCAAACATGTTCATTTCCGTTTCAGATCCCTTTCACATCCCAAGTCCGGATCCTCACCTACTGAGTTTCACTATGATTCTCTTTTTCGAAGCTGAGAAAATCACCCAATCCTTCCTCCAAAAATCACCATCATCCCTCCAAAAAAGGCGGAACCACCAAGTGACTCTTCCAGCTTTGGAAAGCTGAGAAAATCCAACGGATGGTTCCAGTCGTGTCCAAATCTCAAGCTTCGCAGCTCTGGCAATTCCCCCGACAATGGCTGGTTGAAGCTTGGGCCGAAGGTCAAGGTGCGAAGCTGAGAGGAACTGAAACCTTTCATTGGAACAGGATTCCCCGAAGATTTCGAAGTTGTATTCATTTTTTGTTCCAGATTTCTATCGGCATTTCGTCAAGTCAGAATCTCGTCAAGTCACAATCTTTTAGTTGTGATAACCCGGAAAGGTATTCCGGGACTTCCCCTCCTGAAACAGGCTCATTTGTGCCACATTTAGCTCCTGTCACATCGCGAGGAGCATCCAACAGTATGGGGTCGGGCCGAGTCAGATGGATTTGGGTCACGGCACATGGAGACAGCATCCCTATGTCCACGCGGGGTGGGTTTGGGCTGGGTTTGGGGTGGGGCAAACACTCTAATTTCCACTCCCATTGGGACTTGAAACTGTTGGCTGAATAAACAGATATGTTGATGGACCAAATTTGGACAATTCAGTTTGACGACAATGAGTTTGCAAAGGAAGGCTTCAGCAGGACAACGGCAATGAAGCAGCAATGGAAAGAGACAACAAACCAGGCGCTCACGAGCCGCACGTCAGGGGCCTAACGAGGACCTTTCCGTAAGATGGCTCAGTTGCTCTATAACTTTCCATGTGGTTGTTTATGATATGATTTTATTTATGTCATTTGCCTATGATAGCTTTGCTTATATCTTATAATGGCAAAGTTTTAGTTCAGTAAATTGTTTAGACAAATTATTATGATTCTTCAGGCGGATAGGTTTATAGTGATTCTGTAAACCAACTGGAGGCATCACTTTGTAGGGACGCACAAAGGACCATTTTTCCCAAAGAAGGAGAGTGGAAGCAAGCATTCATGGGACATGACAAGCATGGAGTAAACCACTAGAGGTTGGAGAACATCAATGGGGATAAAACCACTCTTGAGGGATGGAAACATATGACTAAACTATAGGAACACCCCTAATTAATCATCAATTTTAATTGGATTTTTTATTATATATAAACCATCCAGCTATTGGGGGTATCCCCATTTATGGAAACCCCTAAATATAACTAATGTAAAATATACTAAAATCAGCATCAAGATGCCATCCATTGGCTGGTTGAAGTTTGGGCCGAAGATCAAAGTTTCGAGATCAGTGGGAAGCTTTGTGCAATCCAAACGTTGGTTAAAGTCTGTGCCAAAGGACAAGCCTTGGAAAACAGCCGAAAAAAGGGAGTCGATTCCCAATTTCATGGATCTGGCTGAATCATAATCATCCACCAAGCCTGAAACGGGGGTGATTTTGGGATGAGTCCCGTTACCCTCTGGTAATTTAACGTAGCTATGGAAAATCACCTTTTTTAATGGGAAAAACCACTATAAATGGCCATTTTCAATAGCTATGTTAGTTTACCAGAGGGTACTATTTGGGGTGATGTGGTTGTGAAGTCGTTACAATTCAGCCAAAAGGATTGAACTACGGGGAAAAATGAAACAGAACCTTCAGCCAAAATCCAAGAAGCTTTTCATCCCCCTGGGGAGTTTGGACGTGTCCAGTGCCTGGTTGAAGCTTGCACCAAAGGTTAAACTTTGAAGGCCAGCCGGAAACGACACCTTGTTGAGATTCTGGTTGAAGTCGTCACCAAAGGTCACATGTTGAAGATTCGAGGGTAAATTCACCCTGTCCAAGCTCTGATTGTATTTGTCACCAAATGTCAGGCTTTCCAGGCTCCTGCAAGTCGTGTCTGAGAAACCCAACGTTGAGGAGTGGTGACCAGGATAATCCCTGAAGTCTGCCTATGCTTTTGTACATGGGTTACAAATGATACTATATGAAATATCCAAAGACATCTCATTTCAAAGGGGCCATCCTACTCTTCATGCCGGGCCCTTGCTGTCCCCTTAACCCCAGGCTTCATTCTAAGATCCTCCAAAGAGCTTATGATGTCGCCATGAAATATTCCTGTTTAAAATTCGTTTGGGGACTCCACAATTACAACAAGTGCTTGGTTGGTACCCCCATGGAAGAGCAAGCGAAGTTGATTGTAGGTTCGTAAAACTCCCATGAATCCCATCCCTTGTTCATATTTAAACACCCCCATCCGTCCCAAATGAGTGATCTCATTCCCTACATCCACCGTGGTTTCCGGGCTGTGTTTCTTGTTTCAGGGGGAAGGGGTTGCAACTCAAAAAAACCCAAGTTTTTATATGGAGGTTTCCTAAAAGGGGGGTACCCCTAGTCATCATCCATTTTAGATTTGGATTTTCCATAACAAAAACCAGCTATTGGGGATCCCCCCATTTATGGACACCCCCCAAATCTTATGGCAAAATGCCTCCCAATTCGCCCACCTTGGCAGATGCACGTGGTCCAATCTCTGATCAAAGACGTGTAGCAGAGTGAGATGCCGCAGTTGGCTCGGGAATCTCACACCAACCAAAGTCCTCGGACACTGCTCCGTTGAACACCCCAAAAATCGCCGGGCCGGCGATAAGTTGAGTTGATACTGTGGATGGAAGAAATCACCAGTTGATAGGTGGTCTATCATGGTTTATCCATGTTTATCCCATATTATTTATAGGTTTTCAACCATCCTTTTGGTGGTGCAGGATTTCGCAGCCATCCACAGTAGTGCACTTGATATATTTGTTGACTTCTAAAGTTATTTTCCAACTTGATACGCTTTGGCCGCTTTGGTCATTGAGCGGTTTGCCATGGAAAATAAGTGAAACAAATGGGCCATCTATATCAACCACCTTGGGCTTTGTTGATAACTGGGGAATTTACTCGTAATTTTATGGCCATTGTAAGGGGAACAATAAACCCCGGAGAAATTGTAGACATAGAGATACGTAGAGTATGTTTATTCGCAATTGGTGCTGTTCTAAATTTGGGTCGCGTTCAAAACTGACCAAAAAAGAATGCGAATCTTTCGCATCAATTCCACGAGAGAGGTGGTGGATTTCAGCAAAACCCTTTCGCATACCTTGGGTGCTGGGTTTGTTTGAAAAGACTTGGAAGAACGGTACCCCATGGTACCCCTATATCCGATATTATCCGATGATTGATCATCACTTTCCAACCAGCCCGGCTGGTTAGGGTCACGCTTTCGAGAAAATTTCGGCCAAGGTTCTCGTTGAACATGGGACCAATCCTTGGAGTTGCTTGAGAGGGCTACAATAAACCTCTCAGATATTCCCAGTAGAAAATCATACCCATATGCTCCATGTATGGAATATTTACCAACATTTGCCCTAAAAATCACCCAAATGTAGGTACAGGTAAATATACCATACATGGAGCATCTGGGATACTATTAATTACTCCCAATTTCTGGTAGATTAGACGGAAAATCATCGAACGTCATCGAAAATCTCTCAGATCGAGCTCCAAGATTCGTCAAGCTTCGCAAGCTGCGAGGAAAGCATTCGAAGTGCTGACGCAACGAAGCTCCCTCCAGTTCCGTGAGCCCATCGAGGGGAGACTCTTCCTTTCGCGGCTGATCTGAGGATATCTGAGGCCATGTTTGATTGTTTTTGTTCATGAGGAACATTTTTCTGGTGAAGTTGGCGATGAAAAATTATCTAGAATCTAAATATATCTAAATGATCTCCCATTTGTATCCATTTGTTCAATAGGAATCATCGAATCGGTGAAATCAATGCTTCCAAGTACATCATTCATTCATATTGGAAAAATAAAAGTGCACCAACCTCAAGAAAAACCAACACAAGTCGCAGTTTGTCCGTCAAATCTCATAGTTTCTTTACGCTTGTTTCAACCCGCCTTTTGGGCATTCTTTGGGCAGAGTCCACATCTAAGAACTTAAATAAATAAATTTATGTACCCATTCACATGACCTGAAAACTGGAACTTCTTAACCGCATATCACAGATTCCTGCATCAAAATGGCCTTCATCAACGAATTGCCAGTTACCCCGTTTTTGTCATGCGATGTCCCCAAACAAATCACCAGGATTTTTATCGCACGGCCTGCAACTGTGACTGCGGGTACGTTCCATGGAATACCCTCCAGGCTGTCATGACGTCAGTAGACCTGACCAGTCCATGAGTGGTCAGATGGGCTTTTTAAAGACCTGTTGATCCAAAATGACCCGTTGACCACTAACCCAAAGTTGGTACCCGACATGGTTAGTTTATGTCTTAGTTTCCCCTGTGAATCGGGGACACTAAAAAAAATGGGGACTCACCACGCCTGGTTGAGGATGCAACAAAAAAGTGGTCGGTAGGTCTGTCTGAAAATGGGAATTCGCCAACAAATCATGTTTCAATTGAGGAAAATTGAGGTTTTCAAGCATCAAATTTGAGTCCCTGAATTCAGACAAACCCAGGTTGAGTCTCAGCCCAAGCTTTTGCAGAAGAAAACATCTACTTATCTACCAACAGAATGCAGGTGTCCCATGAAACATGATGGGAACGTTAGAGATCGGCTGTTCAGGTATCGATTCTTGGGCCCCGACTGTTACATGTCCAACCAATGATAAAATCTGCCACAAAAAATGGAAGCATTGTGGAATTTCCCACCATTCTTTTTGGAAAGTATTCACAATACGGAATTGCTGACAATCATTGTTGACAATTAGTTCTGGGCAATAGATGGCGCCATTCATGGTATCCGAAACATTCCCAACTTGGTAGCCTTTCAACCAATCCGATGGATGGATTTCTTCCAATTTGCCAACGTCCCCTTTGTGCGTGGCATCAGTGGTCACCAAGCCCAAGTTCATGGTGTATCACTATATTCCTCACCATGGCCATGAGAGGTTTCTTCATTTTTGAACAAGCCATATTATCGTTGGTTGTATGTATATATATATAAATTATACTGTATATATCTCCCTTTCATCCCCTTTCTGTCCCCTTCTCTCCCCATGAATTGGTTTGAACACATCATTGTTGTGTTTAGACAAACCCCCTTGGCCCACCTGAAAGTACAGGAAAGAGTGGGATTCTCATCGAGACCAATTCCTTGTTGTAGTAAGGTGCGTCCCATCACGAGCCTTGACTCCTGCTCGTAGGAACAAGGGCAATGGAAATTGCAATCTTGGCTTTTGGGTCGCCCAAAAAAACAGTATCCTGTCTATGCACCATGAAGACCATAGCTGGAAAACCCTTTCACATAATGACTGCCCGCAGATGAAGTTCATGCAGTCATAATGGGTTTGTCTGAAATGGCCATAAGTTGAGGTATACATCCCTCAGTGTTGAACAAATTCGCATATATGCTATATTGTATGAGTCCATAATGATTGGTCTTATACCACCATTTGTTGGTATCATATTATGTATATGTTCAACATCTTAACGTCAATGATATCAGAACTATATCGTTGAACTTTTGACCCCGTTATCCCAGTAGATTGAGCCAAGAAATACCTCCATCCCATCCCATTCTACTGATTGGGTAGTAAATACGCCCAAATCATGGATGTTCCATTCATTTCCGTGAGCAAATCAGGTTTGTCAAAAACCTTATCCAATACATATATAACATTATATAAGCAACCCAAGATGAACCTTAGTTTTTTTTCAAATTCCATATTATTCGTTGTCTTATGACAATTTTTCCACAATTGGAGGTTTCCTATAACATGGGGGTACCCCAGAAACCATGGGTTTCAATATTTTCAATACTGAAATGGTCCTGACTTGGATTTGGGGTCCCATTTTAAGAAACCTCAATTGGAAACAAGGCTAGAACCCGAACTAATTAACCAACAGGGTCTCCTTCCAGCAGCTTAGGACACCATCCCTGTGGTCCGTCCCGGGACCCACCGCGCCTTGTGCGTCAGCACGAGCCCGGCACCGGCCTTGGGCGGCACCTTCTCGCAGACCAGGCGAAAGAGCTCGCGGCCCAGCGCCGAAGCGCGACAGGACACGGTAAAGCCTTCACCGTTCCTGGGTCCCAAGATGGGGCCCTGAGTTAGGCTCTTATATGAGACATGGCACACTTAATATATATATATATGGGATATATATATATTATATGTATTACATATGGGATTTAAACAGTAATGCAACCAAACCAATACAGCGATATAACCGATCCAGTTGGGGAATGTATGCGATAGATACAAGTATTGACAAAGGTTCTCACCAACAGTAAAACTTCAGATTCAACCAACAAAAACTGGGATGGCTTAAATGATTGACCGTAACTGTGGGGGTGGTTCTATGCGAAATAAGCCAGAACAAGGGTATCATCAAACATGATGATATTGACCTACAAATACCAAACATGGACAAACGCAATCACCAGCTTCAAAACTTGTGATTTAAGCAGCACATAATTAGATATATTCATTACCTTGTGATTAAATTAAATACCATGCTTCGGATCAACTGAAGAACATGGGATCTAACCCAGGATTCAAACAAATATAACCAGTGATATGAACAATGCGAACAATGCCTTGGTTCAAGGGAATGTTCATGGAACAGGAGAACGTTCATTTTCGTACATTTTCCCTTCCCAGTTTCAACCGCGAGCTTTTCCTTCACTCAATTCTGGGACACAGGTTATCACCAACATGTGGGATGGATCGAGACCATAAACTCAATGGATTTGTCCCAACATGTGGCACTTCAAAATCCCAATGACAAGGCTTTATCATTATTCATCCTATTTTCACATGACCTTTTTCGATCTTTTCTGGATATTCCCCCCCATTGTGAGACAAATCGAATCATACACCGTCACGGGATCCTATGGCTTTCACTGAGCGGAGGCATGCGAAGAGATTTCCGCATCACTACTACTGTGGATGGCTGCGAAATCCTGCACCAGTTGATAGGTGCTTTATCCCACTATTTATAGGGTTTCAACCATCCTTTTGGTGGTGCAGGATTTTGCAGCCATCCACAGTAGGATCAATACTTCGGGGACTTACTAACCAGGCTTGATCCGAGGTACAAGAAGAGCACCTGGATCTCAAGAGTTTTCTCGTCCATGACTGAAGGCTTCAGCAGTCTTTGACTGGCATAGACCACCATTTTCTGATCCACAGCGGTACGTCCCAGCAATCTTTGACAGGCATAGACCGCCATGGCTTCAGAAGTGAGCCTCGAAACTATTAAACGAAAGGGAAGCTTCGTACCTTTCTTGAAAGTTAGATACGTTACTATGCGTTACTATGTCTTCTGGTTCTTTCTTGATGTTGGTGACCATGGTGGGATCTGCAACGTGAACTTTCACCGGCCATATATCCAGGATTTTTTGTTTGATGAAAAAGTGTGCATTCTTCTGCTGGGTGCATCGGCTACATCCACTTCGCTGACATGGTCTGCTCCCTTGAGCCGTGCCATCGATGAGTGAACTCAGCGGATATATTTCATAGTTAGAGGGGCCCCACATCCCCACTTATGGGGCTTTAAATACCCATTTATACCTACAAGGTGGTGCCCCCCAGTGATGTTTGTGGGCTTGTATTCCCCATTCACTACTTCGATATAATATATGTATATATATATATATACATACATATTAATTATATATATATACACTGTATATTATATACTCCATAAACCCAATCGTCAATTTCCCTTTGGTAACCAAACATGGCTGGCTGGAAAATCACACATTTCCTTGCATGATTTTCCCAGCAACCTCCGTGGCTAGCTTGGGGGTATTCCACCTGCCTGTCATCTTTGCTGACACCGACGAGTGTTTGCCACCAGGTTTCTGTTATCTACCTACCAAGAAAAAGCCACCAGGATTTTTTACATCATAAATCCCCATTTCTGTTGGTTTCGCCATTTAGTTCGATGATGTCCCAGCCTCCATAAAAAGTGCATGTATTTCCCAGCTAGCCATGTTTGATTTTTGTTGGTTAAATTCGCCTTATATCCCAATTATTTTCCTTTTATTATCCCTATAAACCCAAATCAAATCCATATAAATCCCATTAAATCACATATAAATCCAGAATATCAATGCCAAATACTGTAAATCCAGAAGATAACTCCCATATAAATCCCCTTAAATCCCATTTATGGCATTGGGTTTCCACCATTTCCCATTGAACGACGCCTCAATGGCTCGTTGCAAAGCCACCAGTGGCATCAAAGTGGCGGACGGCAAATCCTGCCTGTGACCATTCCCAAAATGGGTACCCTCTGGAAACTAACGGTTTGCTATGGAAAATCCCCATTTCTATGGCAATTTTCAATAGCTAACTGCAGCTAACTGTTGTTTATTACCAGAGGGTAACCATCAAAGGTCAAGGAAAATCAGTGATTTCAGCATCAGAAAACACGTACATATCACTATTATCGATGACAATATAGTTGGGATTTCATCGTGGCAGCCCTGGAGATCCTCCAATTTATGGAAGTTTCTCTTGGAATCATCGAACTAAATGGTGGATTTTCCACCATCAAAGGGAAGAGAAAAGAACTGATAAGTATCATGGTTTGTTGATGATAAAATAGCCATTTAAATGGGACATATCACCGGGATATTCTATAGGGATATCTTATGGCATATTTACAACAGCAAAAAACAAACATCCGAGGCTTCCTGACAATGGGAGACTCCAAAACCATTGCTTTACAGTGGACTATTTCCTGAGCTACTTCTCAGTTGAGGTGGCATAAATCCCAATTTCGAATGCAATGCTTGAACCCCCAAGTTTTTGTGGCTGAATCAGCTAAATCCCGCCCTTTGTCAGTGATCTTCTGGTTTTTTGATGCATACCCTCCAGTGATCAAACGTGGCAACTAAACCAACAATTAAATTAATCATAATATAATCATCCCATTAACCACCCATTTAGAAATCAATTCAAACCATCCCATTGCTAGGGGTATACCCAAGTTCATACACACTGTTTCTTACGGTTATTGCATATTATTCCATCATAGTTAGAATCCCACTATCATCCCATAGTCGTCCCATTATCAGCCCATGATTATCCCATAATTATCATGTCCTTATTGGCTTTACCAGCATTTCAATTGTCCAATACTTGGCTTTATCCCATAATTGGTTCCAGAATTGGCTTTATCCCACAATTATCCCATAATATTATTGATTTATTCTATAATTGGTCCCACAATTCTCCATCAATTCTCCAGCATTTCTCAGGTTCCACACCCTGTAATCGGTGAAGTGATGCGATGGCCCTGTTGGCGGCGCTCACGAAACCACCTGTTCCGCCGTTGCGCCCAGTTGGGAGTCGGGGGAGTTGGTCCTCGTGAATTCCCCTGGTAGAAATTCTGCAGAAATTCTGCAGAAACATAGAGATCAAAATTACCAAACGGGGTGTGGTTTCCAATTGGCTTTGCCACACTGATATCCTTATGTTATGTTATATAATCATACCCAATCTTTCAGCTACAACATGCCACAAATGGTTTAGCACAAGTACAACAATTTTTTGTCCCATCTTATCATGTTGGTTGAACATGGTTTATGTAACCAGATAATAATCATCATTATTGTCAAATATTATGATAATCATTACAGTTGACACATCTTCATGGTTAAACCATTCACACAAGTGGGGCCCCAAAGGTAGGGAATTTGGTTTATACCCGGAAGAACCGGGGATTCTGGTAGTTAAAACATGTTAAAACTATAGAGCGCTACGTTCTTTACAAAAAGCCGACATACATAACTGGGGTGACCACTTGTAATGAACATCATCAATCATTTTTTGGATCTGTATCATGTTTCAATTATCCCACTCATATTTCCAATCCCTATAATTCCCTATCATCTAACATAGAATCACCATTTGAAGGTTTCCAAACTTGGGGGGGTAGCCCTAGTCATCATCCATTTTTAATAGGGACTTTCCATCACAACCACCATCCAGCGCCTCTCAATGTAGCCCCGCTCGTAGACGGAGCCATCCACTGTGGCTACAGGATCCACCTGGGATTTGGTGCTTTAACCATCAAGAACCGGGGAATTCAATGGGATTTCCAAGGGAATTGACTCTCTGGTTATTTCACTTAAGCTATGGAAAAAATAAATCACCATTTTTAAGAGGTCAATCATCATTTTTATAGTTCTATGGGCCAAGGCTTCCATAGCTGTTAAATAAGCAGAGGATAGTATGTGCCATGATATACCCTGAAAGTCCAATGACTCATTTCGTACCACCATACTTGTGACAGTCCACAAGCAACATAATCAACCCAGAAGTGAAATGAGTCAGTGAGATTTTGTCGGATATCTATACTTTATATGTTTTTATTTTAATTTATCGAACCAACAATGATATTAACAGAAACCTTTAACCCGCAATAACATACATACATTAAAATATAGTGGAGATTGATGGAGTATATAGATCATCTGGATATTTCATGGGCTGTATCACGAGCAACATGGTATATAATATAATATAAACGGTGTATATATATAATATATGGCATGGGAAATCACAAGGTGAACCGATAGCTGAGTTGGTTGAAATTCGAAGGTCAATTCAGAGGTTTATGGTACATATAAACCAACACAACTGGAGGCATCACCTGTAGCCATCCTTGAAATTGTTCTCCACTCAGGGGATTTGAGTGTCATTGAGATCTATTAAGAGCTAGCAATACGTCAGATTGGACGTTGGAAAAATGATGAAACATGAACGCCTGGCTCAGTAGCGAAAGACAACGGGTAATTAGCACAGTTGCTAGTTCCCCTGTAAAACAAATACCCTCTGGTAAACTAACATAGCTATTAAAAATGGCCATTTATAGTGGATTTACCCATTGAAAATGGTGATTTTCCATAGCTATGTTAGTTTACCAGAGGGTACACCAATTAGTGGAAAATGGAACGAGGGGCTTCATCCAAGTGGCTGATTGTTGGTGTTATGATCAAGGCGCGGCGCCTGCAAAGTCTTTACCCCGACACATTTTTCGGTGCAGTTCTATCAATGTTTGCTTAATTTTGCGGCATGCTTAGTTGTATTCCAACTATCATGGCTAACGCTAGACATCCTACAAACAAGTGATTTTTGGGCTTCCCACCATGATCGCGGCAGAGATAGGGCAAACCTCGAGTCCGTCTCTGGGCACATGCGGCATGTGAGCCACAATGTGACCAAAATATAACAATATGAGCTGATTACTGGACATGATTCTCAAGATGAGCAGTTTCCAAAAGCTATTGTTGCTCAGAAATTCTGATGAATTCCGCAATATTTGGCAAGAGGTTCTCAGACTCCCCTTTCAGCAATAGACGTCCCCAAGAAATGGTTCATTCAACAATCCCGTTGTCAGCCAGTCCAATAGTTTTGGAAAAAAAGTGGGGATGTTTGGTGACCCCAGCCACAGATCGGCACCAGCAAAATCACATGTCTAGGCATAACACATTTGTGGAGGAATGTCGCAGCAGCTTACAAAATTGAAACATACGTAGCAGCTTTTCCTCTTGTAATCTAACCTGGAAATGTTTTTGACTGCAACGTTTTGTTTAGAGGATACAGTAAATGGTCAACGGAACAAACATTGCCCTATTGACCTATCAAATGTCTGGCATCGCCGCGCCAGTCCCCAACAAAACCGCGGGTTTTGGGATGTTGGTTTGCCTGAAAATGCCGGGGAAAACGGCGAAAACACCAAACATCCCATGTTTTAGCAAAAAAAGCAAAAAAAACATGTGTTAAATGGTGCCTGAAGTATCAGACTGAGTAAAATTCCCATGTATTGAAACGACAGCAGGTTCAATTACAACGTGGTGCCCCCTGGTTATATGTTGCTGGTTTATTTTCATCCAATCAACTAGTTCGATGTGTATAATATACGTATGGTTTATAAACCATGGTGCCAACAGGTGCAAACCTAGTCATAAACCAACTTCCCTATCTGTGGGGTCGCACCTTCTAGTGGCAACTGGGATTTCTCGATTTTGACGACAGCCAACTGTTGGTTGGGGCTGTAACAGCGAACTATTATTGGCAACAACACCATCAAGGAACACGTTGCGTCTTTCGAAAATATGATTAACATCGCATACATAATGTGGAATCATAAAACATCATAAAACCATATCTGGTAATCATAAAATCCTCCTTTTTCTCCGCCTCCTTCTCAGCCTCATCCTCATAATCCTCCTTCTCCTCATCCTTTGCATCTGAACGCGCCGAAAGTTGTCAGCGCTTGAAAAAAATGCTAGGTTCCGCAGCCCATTAATGATCATCCTGTCCTTGGGGTCTTTGTTTACCAGGTTTCTAGATCCTCATTGATCATGTTAATGTTGTTTGACTTCTCCACCTAATCTTTGATAACATGTCCAAACTCCATTTTTACTGGCTCATCTCCAATTTACTGGTTCATCTCCAACTCACCATCTTTTCTTGGGGGTTGCGGCATAACCTCACTTAATCACCAACCAAAATTGTGCGCCCGGCAAAGCTGTCTGGCACTGGCATCAGGCGAACCGCGTGGTCCTGGAGGGCTGAAGTCAGGGGTCAGGGATCACGGTAACAGTTTGGTCTGAATTTTCCCGGGCAAACACTTGAAATTAGAAACCCTTACTAAATTGTTGATGAAATCTATAATCCCTTCCTCCTAATACTAAACGTCCCCCTAATACTAAAAACAGGCATCCATCTCCAATTTCCGAAAATTTCAGTTTGGCCAATTTGACTTTTAATTGATCCCCTTTAAAAAACAATTTAAAAATCAACCTACCATTTGTGGGTTCTCCCCCCTAATACTAAAAACTAGTTCACCCCGGGGTGTTTAGTATTAGGGGGGCCTAGTCCCAATCCATCACTCCAAGCTGCCTAGCTACTCTAGCAATTAGGGGTAAGCTTCTAACTGCCATTTTTGGCAATATTTTAATTGCGTTATATAAGGAAATTTAATTGATTTTGAGATCGTAAAAAATAGTTTTTAGTATTAAGGGTTTTAATTTAGTATTAGGGGTAAGCTTCGAACTGCCATTTTTGGCAATATTTTAATTGCGTTATATAAAGAAATTTAATTGATTTTGAGATCGGAAAAAATAGTTTTTAGTATTAAGGGTTTTAATTTAGTATTAGGGGTAAGCTTCGAACTGCCATTTTTGGCAATATTTTAATTGCGTTATATAAAGAAATTTAATTGATTTTGAGATCGGAAAAAATAGTTTTTAGTATTAAGGGTTTTAATTTAGTATTAGGGGTAAGCTTCGAACTGCCATTTTTGGCAATATTTCAATTGCGTTATATAAGGAAATTTAATTGATTTTGAGATCGGAAAAAATAGTTTTTAGAATTAAGGGTTTTAATTTAGTATTAGGGGTAAGCTTCGAACTGCCATTTTTGGCAATATTTTAATTGCGTTATATAAAGAAATTTAATTGATTTTGAGATCGGAAAAAATAGTTTTTAGTATTAAGGGTTTTAATTTAGTATTAGGGGTAAGCTTCGAACTGCCATTTTTGGCAATATTTTAATTGCGTTATATAAGGAAATTTAATTGATTTTGAGATAACATTTAGTATTAGGGGTAAGCTTCGCAATATTTTAATTGCGTTATATAAGGTTGACTTCGATTTGGTTCCCTAATAATAAATACCCCCCTAATACTAAAAACTACCTGCCGTGTTTTGTATTAGGGGGGGGGGTTTAGTATTAGGAGGAAGGGATTATATTGATGAAATCTATTGATGAAATCCGTGATTAAATTGCAGAAATCTATTATGAATATCTATGAATATAATATCACACTGAATATTCTGACACTTGAATCTGAAATTCTGGCAAAATGACATTTTATAGAGATCATCTTCCCCATTTTCAAATGTCAAATGGCCATAAAGCTGAGGCACCAGTACCAGTTGGATCGCCCTGATGTGTTGCATCCATTTCCAGTTGTAGGAAGTCTCAGAGATCACCCCAAAATCAATCCCGGAGTCTTGTAACTTGTGCCAGCTCTTGTGTAATGTTAAACTCTGGGATAAATGATTTTTAATCACAATAAAATTGTCTTATCATTTTGCGCATCATCAACCCGAGGACGAATGATTACATCATTCCTTCCACATCAGGGATATGTAATCAAAAACAAGTGGGCATGCAGTGCGTCATGGCTCATTTTCCACGTATCGTGTCCAAGCAGGCAGCCTGTAATTTTCCAGATGTTCCGGACAAGGTGACTCGCAAATCTTGGGCACATGATTTTGATCAAATTTTCTCAGAGATCTTTGAGGGCATTTTCTATTGTCTACGGATAGAGACATTAGGAAAAGTCCGTCTGACTGCCTGCTGTCCGTTGCACCCGCAAGATCTCCCAAGACGACTCTCAGATACAAAGTGCAAAAAATATGTCACATGTTTTTGGAACCAGGTAACTCACGCACATATTCCCCCGTGGCATGGCTGACACCATAAAGCCATCATTCATCATGGTTGACAAGGGTCTATACCATTCTATCGTCCAGGACCCAAGGGTAGATTCGCGCCTCATCCAAGATGTCAGCTTCCAAACTAAAACATCGGGCTGCGCCCTCGCCCCAATGCTCGCCGTACCTGGTCGACTCACAACAAGGGGACCCGGAGGTAATGGGAGCAGGACGCAGAATAATCAATGAAGTGGTTTTTATAGTATCAATATGTATCAATGGCAGTTTGAATATTCTCTTCAAATGGGAAACACATACATGAACCTTATGTTTTGATGATAAAATAATGTCTATGCACGTCGATGGTGGTATTTTTTTCTGCGTATATCCGCAAAATAATATCTGCTTTGTACTTCTTGATGAAAGGAAACATGTTTTTTGATGAACAAAACAAGGTACGTATGTTCTTTTCAAGAAAAAACACCATGTATCTTTGTGACATTTTTTGCCATCTGAATGAAATCCATTGACGATTATCTATGTAGCTCTGATATCCGTTTAACTTTGCCGCGCGTACCTTTTCATACCTTTTCTGCCTACCAAGACCATAGATCCTCTTCTGCTTCCAAAAAATATGCTAAACTATATATCGTGTATATATATATATATATGTATATATATGTATATATATATATATATGTATATATATATGTATATATATGTATATATATATGTATATATATGTATATATATGATTATATATGATATATATATTATATGTATATATATATGTCTATATATATATCATATATAATCTGATGTCAGAAAATAATTGGGTAGGGGCACTGTGCATGGCAGGGTTGGCTTGACTGGAAGCTGGAGGCACCTTCCATGGCCTGGGATTTGCATCATTTCGCTGCAGCTTTTGACTATTGCAACCCCCCAAAAAGGTGGTAATATACAACTAGATTAGCTGAATTAGACTTACATAGTATGTGTAGATATGTCTAGTATAATGTAGAAAAAGACACATCCAAAAGGTTTGGGGGCAACATTACCTTTTCTGCATCTCGTTGCTCGTTCACATTCAACTCATTACCCGTAAAAGTTGTTATCACCAGAAATCGCTTGATGGTCAACCAAAGTGAGTTCAACTTCAGAGATCACTTAATCAACTAACATGGTCAGCTTGAACTTCCAGATAGGGCATGGGGGGATGGTAGTGCTAAACATACCAAGTCATCAATAGTTGGCCGGTCTCAGACGGGTGACGATGGACATATCAGAACCCAAGATGAGGATGTTTCACATCAACAATATTCAACAATACACCATCAATGGGAATTTCAGGATCCTAAAATGGAGGCACTGTACATATAAGACCATATTTTGTGGGGATATTCCCTTACATAGGCCTTATATAGGCCTTATATATGGTAGGTACGACACCGAAATCCGTGGCAAAATTATCAAGGAAAGTGGGTATGTGTAAACGCTTAGGCTAGGTGTCTATCATGCACCTATAAAAGGTTGCAAGAACCCTGCTAATAGTGGGATTTGGGGTCTGAAAACATTATCAACAATAACATATAGTAACATGATATCAACAATAACATTATATCAACAATAAATAGCAGTAACATGATATCACCAAGAGGTTCTGGCTTAACATTTTCCATACCATCCCTTTGTTGACACAGATTGGATTTTGCACCGGTGTATATGGCCTCAGTGGTCAGTGGAAGAACACTCAGTGGATCCAATTCCCACCTGACTTACCGAATGCAGCGCCAACCTCGAATATCCATTAAAAAGAGACGTTACTATCAACAGGTGTAAAAAGTCAGTGACCATCAAACTACCATTCAGCTTGTGATTTACTCAGAATGTATCATTGATGATGTTGACGAGGAGGAGAAGGAGGAGCAGGAGGATGGAGGATGCGTATGCTTCTGATTATGCATCATTCTGGCTAACAACTTCATCCAGATCATATCTCCCATGACATATCCCATAAAAAATCATCCCATAAAAAATCATCATATTCCATCATATTCCCATGACATATCACCATTATATCACCTTTTTATCACCATGACATATCACCATTATGACATGACATCACCTTTTTATGACATGATTCACTGCAGCTAAATCCACATCCTGAGCTCCATGCGACTCAAGGGGCCTCCTGCCGGGGCCCGCTCATGGCGCTTTCACGAACTGTGGCGATGAGTTGATGCGGAGCTCGCTGGGATCATCTTTCCACCCATGTAGAAAAATATATGGAAATATATGAATCTATATATGTATATATATAAACAACAATACATATATATATATATATATATATTATACAAAAGTATAGAAAAAACTATAGAAAATTATAGAAACAACTAGAAACGATTTTGATCATGTTTAAATCCAGCACTTCCTTTGCAGGTTTCGAGGCGTTGCGAGTTCTTTGGTATTTATGGCTCTGCCGTGCTGACTCGAAGATTTCCTATTTGGAACGAACTGCAACTGACACTGGCTGACTCGTATAGCAAAGGCTTTGAGGGAGAATCTACAAGAAACCCTTACATCAGGATGTTATCCATCATGGTTTCTTGTTACATTTTAAGGAAATTAAGCCATTGAAGATGGGTGGAAGATCTTCATATCATACAAGCTGTAGCAAGGGCATCTCAGTCATTGATTGCCCCATTGCCATTGTCTTTACCCCAAAGCTTCAAACAAAATTCATCCACTGCTACGACTCACATTAGCATTGCTTGAGACTCATGGTGGATATTAAAAAACTAAACACATATTATTGATGTCCATCCATTTGCACACTCATACCCGGTAGATCCTTGCGTTTTACCCATTTATAGCATGATGCATGATGGAACAGCCGCACTTCAGCGACTCGGATGAAGAACAAATCGCCATGAGCCGAGCCGAGCGCAGAGATGCCAGGTGCGGAACGACCTTACCCTTCGCTGTGATTTTATATCCCACCACAAAAATCCCAGTTCTGTAGGAAAATCATTTGTGCCATGATCAAGTTAGATTCACATTGGATAAAATTTATGGGAACATCATTGGATGGTTATTCCCCCAAATAGGGTTTATTATTCCCCTATTAATAATATTTAATAATAGGTTAATACGTCTTGACCCCTCCCCACATGACATGTTCCTAAAAATCCTTCTGTCGTTCGACCAATAGCCGCCACGCCCACCGTCTTTTTGCGGAATCCATCGCACTCTGCCACCTTGGAAGCTGGTCTTGGAGGGTCAACCGATGGTTTTCTCATGTGAAAATGATGTAAATAATACATATATAATATGATATGTTCATATCTATATATATTACAGTATATGTATATATTATATACACATAAATTATAACGTATATATATAATTATATATATCAATGTAAACGATGTAACTGTAAATAGTATTGCGGTTCCTTACCATTAAATTACAACCTATCCCAATTTAATGAAACCACATCTGGGAATAGTTTATGATTTACCGCTAGTTTTACCTCTTTTTATGGCTTTGATTGACCGCTCAGTCGTGAATCCAAACAGTAGATGTACAACTCGTTCCACTGCCACATCAGATTGCCGAAAATCGGATTTCACATCTGGTCTTTACTGTATAGTCTGTATAGTATGGAAATCCAATGTAGAAATCTACAATATTTCACGATATTACATAATCATTATATAATTCTGCGTATATTATATCTCAAAATTATCATACCTCCTGGTAAATTTCCATAGCTATCCCCTCTATGCATGTTTTGCCGCTTCTTAACGATAAAATGATTTTTCATTGCTATGCCAGCTATAACCAGAGGGTAAATCCCAAACCCCATGTTCCAATCATTAAACACCCCACAGAAACCATGGTTTAATAGGGGATGAGACCACATATTTGAATATTTGAGACTATGGCATGGGATGTGTGTGAGTGTGTGTGTGTTGTTTTGTAAATAAAAAGGAGGATGGGAAAACAAAGCTCCTGCATAAGTCTAGGTTCACATCGCCAACTTTGATGATCCATCCTCATTTATCAGCCATTCACTATTTGCTGAACTCAGGCAGAAGGCTGCACCCAATCCATTGAAGCAACTGAAATCTTCCGCCACTTGTATCCACTTGTGACCAAGAAATCTTCCAAACATATGGATATAGTGGGTTAATGGGTCATAAATCATGGATATATTACAGGATATTCATGATATTCATGGATATTCATGGGTTCTTCCTTAGGTCCACGAAGTTTTACCCAGCACCTTTTCAGTCTCGTTCTTTTCCAGCCACGGCCGCAGCCAACGAGGCCGTAGCTGTAAAATGGCCACTGCTTGGCTTCAGCATCCGAAAATGAGTGGAGTCATCTGAGTCGACGACACCAGTCAACTGAGTATGATCCTTATTGGTTATTTAACATAGCCATTGTATAGATGGCCCATAGAAATAGATGGTTTACCTATTAAAAATGGGTGGATCTTTCCATGGCTATGTTGAATAACCAGATGGTATCCTTATTGGTTATTATCCTATGGTGGGTAATATTAATACCAATAAGGATCATAGTATAGATGATGGCTAACGACTTTTTGGGTATTATCCTTATTGTCCTGTTCTGAGCCCGGTTCCGGTCAACTATGGTAAGCTTCAACCTGGGGAAAACAATCCCCATTTATAGACGGCTTTCCCATGAAAAAAACATAAATACTGTTTGACTGTTCGCTTTTTTCTCAACCTTTTGTGCCTTTGGATTACTGGAGGGTATGGCTTAAAAAATCATCCGATCTACCAAGGTTTATCCTGATCTACCGAGGCACTTCAGCGTTCCGGGGCTTCCCTTGAAAGTGAGATTTCGCTGAAATCCTACTCTGGTTCAATCAACATAACAACAATATTATATATATATATATGTATATCATATATCATATCATATACATTGCTTTCCAAACAGAAATAGTGACATTTTAAGGTGCTTCCCTTACAAACCATCATTTGTGGTTATGTCACTGTGAGGTTTTTCGGTGCTGGGAATTCGGCCTCCAAAATTTCAGAAGGCCAAACCCGCCACCCATCGTTGCGCCCACTAAACGCTTGCTGTTCTCGCAGTTCTCTGGACTTTGGTGAAGCAGTTTGGGTTAGCGGTTAGCGCACATGCCATGCCAGAACAAACAGTTCCGTAGCCTCTGGTCGATTTTTTTCGGCCATGGGGAAACACGTAGTTACAGTATGTCCATTGGAAATGGCGATTCCCCTTTGTCATGTTTAAGTTTTTGGAGGTTATTTAGATGCGTACTACAACCTGTGGCACTTCAGTAGTGTTGACAGCAGACCCATTGCAACCACTGCGGCTGGAATTTCACCAAAAAGACACAAACGAAACTCAGAACGTGTGAAATCTCATATGTGCCATGGTCAAAACATGGTAATTATATGACATGTGCTACGGTCCACCTACCATGACTCGGATATATATATATATATCGTGTTGTATGTATTGGCCAGTATAGTTCCATACAATAGTGGCATGACTCCTATTCCTTTCCTTTGAACGGCCCCAGTGACCATTTTAGAGAGATTTGATTGGATCCTAAGTTGGAGGTACCCAACTTTGTACGTTCAATGTAAGGCCGCCATTTCAAGGACTATGCACCCGAAATATGGCACAGTTCTTCCATGTTGTAGAAATAAACACACAAAACACCCAATGAGACCATCTTGAATCTCCATCATTTTTGGGATGATATCCCATTTGTGTCTGCTTAAAATCCCCAGATTGGGTAGATGAAAGAGTTCCCCCAATTGCTTCACCAACCGGCGACTTCTTCACGTGGCTGGGGCCAGGCTGCATAGCCATCTTGCAACGACCTCAGTGTGGCGAGTCGGTCCACATGGATCCATGCCGTGGATCACAAGTCATGGGTTTCCTAAGTCATGGGCCATGAGGGATCCCCCAAATCATCCAAGTCATTAGACCCTTTTAGTAGGACATCTCTATAGCAATTTTTGGATATTTTTGGTTCGTTTCCATTCCTGACGTTGCGAAATGGGTATCAAACAAATGGATTTATCATCTCCTCATTGATGGGTCACTAACTAATCACCAATTGCATAACAAGCATCATCCAACTACTCATGCCATCTTTCTGAATGGAAGGAATTTACCACCCCGAAATCCGGGGGTTTTGGTGGGACTACCGTCGAATTCGTTATATGTAGTTCGTTCCATCCGTTGCAGAAATCTTTGTTGAATATCTACCCAAAAATATCATATTCGAGAAACACATTTTCCCCGTACTTTGATTCCCGTTTAATTCAATCGAAGTGGTTTTCCATGGATTTCCCATTATTCAATTACCCCAGTTCCTGTGCACTCAATCCCTGTTTGAGAAACATGATCAAATCCATATTTTCCCCATTCCGGTAGCATGTATTAATCTAATTGCCATCATATTTTTTACATCATTATATATCCCCTATTAACTAGCTATAATTACACCGCAAATGATGCATTTCCTCATTAGGAGGCCACTTCACCAATGCATCCCCCTTGTGGTCATCATTTACCTACAATAGGTTGGAGCAACCCTGTGGCAAATCCCATGAAACCCCATGAAATGACATTAAATCCCATGAAATCACATTAAATCCCATGAAATCACATATAAACTCCAATTAAACCACCTCAACTTCAATTACATCACAGTTTCCGCTGTTAAATTCCCCAATTCTTTGGACAACTTCCCTCCAAGTCACGTGGACGCCATCAGCGCCTCCCTGTCTTCGCGCGCCGCGGTGATGCGGGAGCCACGGAGGTCCAGGAAGTTCAGAGACCTCAACGCTGAGAAGGTGTCAATAACTGGAGCATCCACCCAAATCCCAGGCATTTTTTTAAAAATAATTAAATATATATATATATATAAATAATATACCTAGAGCCTCCGAACAGATTTCGGTCAGTGATCCAGATTTCGAAGCGGAAGTTCAAAAATCAGAAAACAAATCTGAGCGGTCTTGGCAAGTTTGCGTTGTCTTTTTGAGTGCTGGCGTTGTTCTTTGTGCGCTCGCGTTGCGTTTCTAAGTGATTCAGAGTCATGATTCTGGCACGTAGTTTTTTTTCTATATAAGTGCTTCAGATTTCCAAGTGCACGCAAAAAACAGACGTATGTATACAAACTTGTGTTTTGAGATGGCTGCATACAGATTTATATGGCTTTATGCTGTTTTCTTTCATGTTTATGCATGTTTATGAAGGAACAAACAACATTTTCCAAACTGATGGTTTCATGGGGATTATCACAATGGATTGTGATAATCACAAGCTGATACAGGGCGATAGAAGCCCCAACAATCATCAACCAACTGACCGTTTTTAACTGCAGTACTTTGGCACTAGCTAGGTTATAAACGGGATACCCGGAAGAAAATGATGAAACTTAGCCACCCACGACAGCAACACCCACAAAATGGAAATATCACTGTATATCACTGTATAGGGGCGCTAACTGACAATCGTATAGGAATATTGGTCAACAATCACATGGCATCATATGACTGCAATCTCAGACACTATGCAAAAAATATCAAAAAAAGTTGTTTCTAGGTAGGTGGTTGGTAGTCGTTCCCAATCACATCAAACAACTACAGAAACCAGTGTCGGAAAAACAATGGTGTTGAGTGGATGGAACCAGAAACAAAGACCGGAAACCACCCGCAAGCCGGGGTGGTAAGCTGACAAACATGGGGAGAACACGTTTTAAAACGCCACCCGAAATATCCCACGAAATAGAATAATCACGGGAACTATGATGAACTATGGAAACATCGCCTAGGGACCTAGGTTGAAGCAGCCATCCCCAAACCCCAAACTCTTGGGCCTACAAGGTAAATGCATGACATGATTGTAATTAAAATTCATCAAGAAAAGCGCCTGGAAAGGAGGTGTAGCTGGGATGGCTATGTCTTTCCATTGGTCGGCTGATGTCGGCTGATAGGGATTCCATATTGGAAAATCATAGCCCTGATATGCCTCGATAAAAAACCACTTTGTAAGACCCCATCTGAGCATCAACCACTAGGGGGTTTTGGACTGTGTGCAACATGTTTCTACAATCGCACATTGTTTTAGTTCCAAGACCAAAACTAGAGTAACTAGACTAGTTCGGAATCTACTGTTCAAAAGTTCAAAACCTCCATTTGGCTTGTATGACTAAATCATCTAAATGCACCTAAATTATACTCCTTGATGAGCA